TAATGAATATTACCATTAATGTTTTGATACAAATATTTTTATGTAAATCATCAATTAAACGGTTCTTAATTATTAAAATATGAATGATTGTTATATCTTTGTATGATGTTTTATTAATCTTATTCTTTTATGTTTGACATTTACATTCTCTTGAACAGAATAATAAATTTTATTATTCTGTTCATATAGTTACTGAAGATGGTAATATTTAGAATGATAATTTTCATATTACTTTGATTGTAATTACCCTAATTTTTGAAATTGTAAAATTTGAACTTATTGAAGCTAAAAAAGTTCATAGTGGTATCTTTTATAATAATACATTTATTTTCTATTAAAATATAATCTGATATACTGAAAGAACATCAAACTTTTAGAACTTATTTTATCCAAATTTTCATTTTATAAATATTCAGTATATGAAAAAATAATATGAAAGCTTAATATTGAATATTAAATAAAAGCAGGAAGTGGTTTGATAGTATGATGACCTTATGAACAAAAGCCATATTGTTAGCAGCATGTTAATAATCAAGTGGGTTTTCTACTGAATATATTTTAATACTTACTTATTTATTATAATATACATATTACATCTTGTATATTACTTATCTATTATAATTATAAATAATTATAATAGATATATCTATTATCTTATATTATAAATTATCTATTATCTTATATTATATATATGCTAAATGAATAAATGTTAAATTATATAATAAATTTTCTATCTATTCCAGTTACAAAATTTAAGGCAAATTATTAAAGTACTAATCAACTGATTTGTAAATTCTATAGTAGCATGAATTTTTATATCATGATTTTTTTTAACTCTGATTTTCAGTTTAATCACAAATCACCTAATCTATACTAATATTATAAAGAGGTAATGTTTGTAAGTATTTATGTAAGTTTGTTTGCAGCAGGTAATCTCCGAAACTACTCATCCGATTTCAAAAATTCTTTCACCAATATTTAGAATGGAACCTCAGGGTGGACATAGGCTGTATATTATTCCATTAAACATTCATATAAATTAAAATATATAATCTAGGTTAAGGCTTTTATGTCCAACAGATGGCACTACGAGTATGACACCCTAAGTTTGCTTTTCTGCGAGGCATTATGTTTTTCTATGAAAATGAACTAAAGCAGATCATCTTCTATCTATTTATATAAATAAAAATGTAATGTTTGTTTGTTCCTACCGATTTCTTTGAAATTTTGACACAATGCTGCATTCGAATACACACGTGTTTTTATATATGTGTCGAAATTCCCCCCACTGAAGGGAGATGGTTAGGATTAAGGTTTACCATGAAGAACTTGGCTTCTATTATACTATTTTAGATGTGGGTTTTTGCATTTTTGATTGCGTTTTAATAGGGTACGTCGAGAGAATGTACACTAAGAAGAAATTTTTCGAAAAATTTTCCCCCATGGGGGAAGTGTTATACATTTATAATAGATACATTTTGAGCCACAACAATGCTGGCGGGATCTGCTAGTTTTTAATATAGATGCAGTTTTATAATTTTCAAAATTTTTTTCACTATGAAATTTTGAAATTAGAGTTCAATGAAGTATCATTTTATTAATATTTGTGCTTATTGTTATTTTTCAATAGCATGTATTGTTTTTCAAAATGCATTTTTCAATATTATGCAAATGTTATAATGTTGGGATAATTTTTTAAAAAACTTTATCTATCTAAAAATTGCCTTCTATTGAAACTGTTTTACAGTTGCTATTTGCTAGAAATATATCCCCTAAAGATTTTATTTTTTTTAACAGATTAAATTGGTTAAATAAGATGAATAGTAAGTTTTTTTCTAATAAATTTATGACTACAAATTTTATATAGTAGAACAATATCTTGATAGTGATATTATTTCTGTTATTGTTAAAAATAGAAAATAAAGTAAATCATAGAAAATCAAATGTTTTGTAATGCTGTTCAGCTCTCTGTTTTATCTGCTTTTTTAAAGTCAATGTTCTTTCAGCTTACCTATAATCTTATATAAATTTATTTTTTGAAAGTTTTATACTGATTTCTAGACATAACGAACACAACAACAATAATAAATCACAACTAAGCCGCCATAATACTTGCCTGACTTTATAGTAAATAATAGCAAATTTGTTTTAAAAAATAATGATGGCAATACATTGTTTTTGATATGTAAGCTAGTCATTTTCATTATAGTGGTACCTCAGGATACGAAATTAATTCGTTCCGAAACTGAGATCGTATCATGAAAATGTCGTAAGGTGGATCATCTTTTCCCATACGATTACATGTAAAACCAAATAATTCGTTCCAACGCGAAAAACATACTCAAATTAAAGCCAAGTAATACATTTAAAAAAATAACTGTAGTAAGAAAAACAAATGAAAAATGCGAACTAATGTAACGTCGTATGGTGAGTTTTTGTTCGTATCGTGGAGCAAAAATATGTTCGAATTTCATGTCGTATCCTGAAAATTTCGTATGCTGGGGCGTTCGTAACCTGAGGTACCACTGTATTTAAAACCGCCTTAATGTATTGATTGCTAAAAAAAAAAAATAGCTGTGTAGCTGAAAATAATTGTCTAAAGTTGAGACTAAATGTTCTAGTGGTCTGATTACAATCTTCAAGTAGTAGTTATAGGAAGGAGACACCACTTTTGAACTGTACTTTGTAATCTTCCATTTGTATATATTAAATTTATTTTTAAAATAGTAAAACTACTGTAAATTTTTTACTTTCAAGTTTGTCTTGAAAAATTTGCAAAATCACAAAAATACAAAACTTCATTCAGCTAAAATAGTGTTGTTGTTGTAAAAGATTATTTTATTATATAACATTTTATAAAAATTTATTTCTTTCAGTTTAATAATAATAATAATAATAATAATAATTCCTATTATTATTATTATTATTATCTACATATGTATGATTTCATAATTTTATTTTAATTACAAAGAAATTAAATTTTAGAATTATTTTTCAATAGGAAAAGTTATTTTAAAAATTACAATGGTAATCATAATTAAAATAAATATATTAAATTTAACTTGTTAAACTGCAATATCTTATTTCTATTTTGTAGGGTATAAACAAAAAATTAATTTTAAACAGTTTATCAAGTTTTTGTTGATTTTAATTTAAGATACTTGTAAAAGACCAGCCTGGCCACAGTGTCTTTTTGAGAAATAAATACTAAAATATTAAATATTAATATCGATGGCACATCACAACATTTATATATTCATGATGAATTATTCTGAAATATTCTCAAGTTAAATGTAAATTCTTGAATCGAATAAATTAAATCAATTGTTTTAATAAATATATCTTAAAGTTTTAATCTTCTCTGTGTATAATTTTTTTCATTTACATAGTGCTTATGTGTCTTTTCAAAAGATAATTTCAAGAGAGAGATGATATGAATTAAGATATTTGTTTTGATAAAATTCATGACCTAAAAATTGAAAGAATTTTATTATAAGTTTTTTTAATTTATACATTTTATATATAAAAGATTAAAATTAGTTTTAAAAAACTAAATTTTTCAGTTGAGTTTACTATATTATTTATAAGTGCATAATCATTGTGTTCATATTTAAAAATTAAAAAAATCTAATCTATTTGTTTTGTAGTTACAAACATTTTTAATATTGTTGATTCTAATATTAAATCTTAGCAAAGGTTGAGGTAAGATGCTAGAAAGACTGATTACAATTTATTAAATATTGTTGATCATTTTATTAAATAGTATTTACAAATTTTAGTATTTTAAATGAGTCCTTGACATTGGGTCTAAGTTACATTGACCTCAGATTATTTTGAAAGAAGTTAATTGTTTAAGCTAGTATTAGTTTACATAAAATTGTTTTAATTCCACATGAGCATTTTAAAAGTACCTGATAATATCTTGCATGAATTTTAAGAAATTGTAATCAAAATAGCTTCATTTTTTTTTAATGTCAGAATACATTATAATTATTAATTGTAATGTATTAAACAAAACATTTGGAGTAAATAAAATTTTAAGTACAGAATAGAAATTTCAAACTTTTTTAATAATTGCATTTTTTTTTGTTCTAAATTTTTAAAAATTATAAATTTAATGAGATTTTAGATTTTCTAAACAACCTTAAATATAAACTTTTCAAAAATTAAATTTAAATAAATTCCTGTATTTATTTAATACTTCTTATTTTCAGGTCATATTTAACTTCTGGCAAATCTTAGGATTTTTGATGCCATGTTTGCTGTAACTTTGGATGCAGTAACCATGAATATTAGGGGCAAAAGTTCCTCAACTACAATAGCTTCCAGTCCTGAAAATGTGATGGCCTCTGAAATTTTTGATCAGTTTGTGTCTGCAGGAACATTTAAATCGGTATTATCTACTTATCGACAGTTGTGTGAAGTTCTTCGTTTAAAGCCAACAAATTTTCCAAACTTTTATCCTAAGTTAAAAGCAAAGCTTCATTCTTGGAAAGCTGCATCATTGTGGGCTAAATTAGATAAGAGAGCAAGCCATAAATGTTACAATCGTGGAAAAGCTTGTACTAATACACGGGTATAGTAATTTTTATTGATTCATTGTTTTTATTAAGTTGTTAATTATTAGAAGATATTTGTTGATTTTAAAATTTTGATTTTTTAAAAAATATTCTAGGTGTTAATAATAGGAGCTGGCCCTTGTGGATTACGGACAGCTATTGAATCTCAGTTGTTAGGTGCCAAAGTAGTAGTAGTGGAAAAACGTGATCGTTTCTCTCGTAATAATGTCCTTCATCTTTGGCCATTTGTTATACATGATCTCCGGAATCTTGGTGCTAAGAAATTCTTTGGCAAATTTTGTGCTGGTTCTATCGATCATATCAGTGAGTAAAGAGCATAATACATTACCTAAACATAATACTATTCCTAAATAATACATAACATTTAGGAAATAATTTGTCAAAAATACTAAATTTGTTTGCTTTTATATTTAGGTATACGTCAACTTCAGTTAATTCTTTTGAAAGTAGCTTTATTGTTAGGAGTAGAAGTACATGAAAATGTTACTTTTAAGAGTCTCCTACAACCAACGGAGGATGATTCACCATATGGAAGTGAGTTAATTTTTGAATAATTTTATTACTATTTAATTTTAATTTGTTTCTATTTTAATTAGTATTTTTAAATATTTTAAATTTACATATTGTCTACGAAGTTTACTGGAAAATAATTTCTTTATTACATCTTTATAAATTATTATTGCTTTTTATCATTATAAAAATACTGTATAATGAAAAACCTATATCCTCTTTTTCTTACAATTTTAAATAATTATGGTTTAAATTAGTCTTAAAAATATTTGAATTAAATAAAAAGAATGACAAATTAACACTTTATTATTTAAGTAAAACCAGAATTTTTTAAATTCTTAAACAAACTATAATATTAATATATAAATAATGAAAATAGTTATCCTATTTTCATTATTTATATATTAACAAATAGGAAAACTGTTTTCATTTAATTTTCAGCTTCATATCATTTTAGGCCCTTACATAATGTACTGTAAATTATGAAACTTGTTATTGATTCATTGTTTTTATTAAAATTTAATTATTAAATTGTTAATTATTAGATGATATATTTTTATTTAAAATTTTGATTTTTAAAAAATATTTTAACTAATATTTAATGGAACAATTTTTTGCAGTCTGAAGTGTCTTTAGTTTTAATGAATTAATATATATTTTTTCCTAAATGCTTCTTTTAAAATAATTGCTTTTATTAATGAAATTATTCTAGTAAATTTTTAAAATTTATGTAGAAGTTTCATGATTTGATTTAATTTCTAACATAATTTTGTCAGTGTCTAATAAAGGATATTATACATAAAGCTAATTACTTTCATTTTTTTTTATGCTTTTGTACAGTAATAATACAATTTTGTATTTTTTATACTGTAGTTTATATACTAAACAATTATAGTACAGTTTTTTTTACTGTACACTACAATTAAACAATATACAAACTTTTATTTCTATACATAATAAGTCTAGCATTGAATATCGATTTTCTCTTTGAAAAGCAAGATCTTTTAGATAAGAATCTATTAAATTATTATGAAGAATCTATTAAATTATTTTATTATTTAAGTTTAGTAGATTGCAAAAACAATTTAACTTTTCAGAGTAAAGACAGCATCAAATAAATTACAGTGTACAAAAATTTTGGTCATAAGTACAATCATATCAAAAATTACTAGCATACTGCTTATTCAAGGTATTTGAAAAATATTTCTCAAACATTTTTGGCCTTCTTGAAGCCATCTTCAGCTACTAAAATTAAGCAGTTACATATTCTAAAATAGAATACTTGTTTGAAAATTATAATTGTACTATTTTAATTTTCAAACAATTATTCCATTTTAGCAGTTCTGATTTCAGTAGCTGAAGATGGCTATCTTCAGCTATTGAAATTCAAGAAGGCTAAAAATATTTGAGAAATTAAATATTTTTTGATTTCTTTAAATAAGCAGTATACAAGTAAGTTTTGATGTGTTTGTGGTATAGATTTAAAGGAAGTTGTGATATAGTTTTATGTAGAAATATAGTAGAAAGCTTAAACAATCTTCATTTGATAAAAATCATCATCCTTATCCTGGATATTAATATGCCAATTTATTTTAAAGATGCACAGGTTTACAACAGCATTTAAAAATGCTAAGATTAAAGCATAAAAATTCACAGAAAACATAATTCTAAATGACAAAATACAATTATTTGCAACTGAAGTTAAATAATTGATGTTATTTTTAGATGCTCATACTTGTAGTTTGTTAAAGAACTATTTGTTCTTATAGCCTTACATAAACATAAATGAATTTTTTAAAATTTTATAATGCTTATCAAAAATTAGTCTATAAATTGCAAATGAGTCTCTCTGAAAATAATTATAAAATGTGTTTTATTTTTACTCTCAATAATTTAAGAAAAAAAAAGTGAATTTTGGTGTGTGTGTATATACAGGACTGGGACAGTGACAACCACCATACAACGTGTGTATATATGTACATGTCACCCTACACACACACACACACACACACAGGGTAAGTTCCATAAGTAATGTGACTAATTTTTTTCCTGATGTGACAATACACAGTAGCTAGTTCTAACCTGCTGTGCTAGGTGGCATGGGGTGTTAGCTACAAAACTCGTTCGGTCTCATTTGCCTCCAAGCTACCAGCAGGTGAGGACATTCGTTCCCATAAACCCTGTTTTGGATTAATGTAACACGCCACAATGGATCATTTTGTGGAGTAACATTATGCTATCAAATTTTGTGTAATAATCTCTAAGGCTAAGTACTGGCACTTTAAGCACGGCCAAACCATTCACACTGATAACCACAACATCAATAAAAACAACTTTGAAAGCAGCATCGAATATGCTTGCACCAGGCACCTGGCAATTCCTAATCCTGTCAACTTTTTTCAGCCTGAATATACCAACATTGAAATGTATAGAGATGGATCTAAGGCAGACTTTAAAGTGGGTAGCGGTTTTGTGGCCTTCCATAACAATGAGGAAATTGCCTGTGGAAAGTACAGGCTAGGCAAGCACTGCATTGTTCTGCAGGCTGAGCTGTTCGCCATCAAAATGGTGATGGCTTGGTCAGTCACCAACTGTTAACACAACATTGTTGCCATTATTTTAGGTAGTGCTTTGGTCATTTCTCTGCTGCAAAGTGTTACCCGCCATTCCATTATTAATGACATACAGGATTCCGTCATGAACACCACTAACCACTATTTCATCTATTGGACACAGGCCCACCAGGGCAAACCTGAACAAGCAGGTCAACACTCTGGTGAAGTCATCAGGGAAGACTCCAGCCTCCTGATTGCATTTAATAAAATGACAGCTAAAACCATCAAAGCTTACTTTGGATGGACCTCATCAGGTCCTGGCAGCAGGATTGGGACAGTGACAACCACCATACAACGTATGAACTTATCCCTAATATGGGTCCTTCATAGCTAGCCAGTGGTACAAACCTTGCCACTGTGTTAGTCAATTTCTAACAAACCACAGCAGTTTCAACTTCTACCTGGCTAGGTTAACCAACACACCTTGCTCCAACTATTCCCTATGTGGTGTTCAGGATAGCAGTTGACACTACATCATCGACTGCCCAATGTTAGAACTGGAGAGATATTACCTCAAGACTACCATTGAAATGCACGGGGGTGAGTGGCCCACTGAGTGGTTTTTGATTATGAAGACACTTACAATGTCTTTCTAAAACTAATGAACAAGTACTTTGTATGAACCACAGTCAGCACCTACTCCTAGTTCCCTCTACCCAAGAGCCCTAGATAGTGGAGCCCCTAGAGTCACATTGTCTTCTCTGTCTCACCCTTCCCTGCTCATACCCTCATGTGCTTGTTGCCCATGCATCATCTTACTTCATCTCGTTACATCATCAAATTGGGTTTGTAAGTGTAATGTACTTGTAATTGAATATTTGTATTTGTATATGAATGTTGTATTTGTATTTGCACTTACACAACTTTTGGTCCCATATTTACCTTGTAACCAATTTACTGTAAATAATTTCAATGTATAATTCACTTATTTTTATGTTTTCTTTAACTCCAATACTATAATGTAAATATTCATACCCTGTTTGAGAACTGTAATTGCACTTGCATTTGTGCTGCAGTGGAACATCTGCATTGTATATGTAATCTACATTACTTTATGTTCTACTACTTTACTATTATGGTTCATATGAATTAATAATGTAACAAATTCCATTTAACTCCATACTGTCACTCTGATTGTTAAAATGTATTATTAACTTGTAATATTTTTTTGCTTTGTAACTGGGTTATGCTTATTACGGCACCCAGAATATACTGCTCTCAGTGTGTACCAATAAAATGTATGCATCAAATTTTGCATTAAACGTGGGAAGTTTGCCACTGAAACCTTTACATTGATTCAGCGGGCCTTTGAGAGTGATTGCTTGTCCAAATAACAAGTTTTCTGATGGCACAAGTCATTCAAGGATGGCCAAAAGGAGGTCACTGATGAACCCCATAGTGGATGTCCATGGATGTCCAGGATCAAAACCATGCTCATTGTCTTCTTTGACATCAAAGGCATTATCCATCATGAGTTCATACCTGCCAGGAACACTGTGAATGCAGCTTTCTACTTGGAAGTGCTCAAAAGACTGAAAAGGAGGGTCGCGAAGATTTCCATGCTGTCCTTGATTTTGCCGAAGCAAAATTAAGGACGCATGGAAACTTCATCACAACAACACACCAAGTCACAGCACCTTTGTTGTCAATGATTTCCTGCCCAGGACCACACCCCATTGGTTCCCCAGCCTCCCTACAGTCCTGACCTGGCTCCTGCCGACTTTCTTTTGTTTCCTCGCTTAAAGGAGGCCATGAAAGGGAAACATTGGGACATGATTGAAAACATCAAGGCTTATGTTACATCGGCTCCAAAGGACATTCCGGAGAAGGCTTTCCAGAATGCCTTCCAGGCCTGGAAACACTGCCTTCACAAGTGTATCAACGCAGGAGGGTGATGTTTCGAAGATTTTTGACTAATTGTAAGAATATGTTCAATAAATGATTTTTTTATGAATTTGGTCGCATTACTTATGGAATGCACCCTGTATATATATAGCATTTTTCACATTTCGAGATTATGCATAATAACAGCTTAATCGTTTATTAACTCAAAGCATGAAATATTTATATAGCTGAGCATGTTAAAAATATTATGATAGTTTTCTGTATAGACAATTTTGCAAACTACACAAACATAAAAATTTCAGATATAGAGATTTATGCTAAATTTAATATATCAAGACTTTTGATTGAAATTGAATGTTTTTATCTAGATATCAAATGTATAATCTATATGTAATTTTTTTAAGTCTGTTGTCAAAGAACAAATTAATAACAAGAACTAAAGTTAATTTATTAACTTTATATTTTAAGTTTATTTAACTTTTTATAAATTAAAGTTTTACATGTAAAACTTTAACAAATAAATTAGATAATTTCACATTGTCTTCAGATTTTAACATAAATACAATTTATCAATTTATTATCAAACTAATATACAGTTATATACTATGTATGTTTCCCTGGTAATTAGATTCTAACCATTTTACCAAAAAATGATTTGATTATTTATATCTGGCTGATTTTAGTGAATTTGCTAATTTTGCACCAATTTTTCAGGAGTGGGATGGCATGCAGAAATTTCACCATCAGATCATCCTGTATCTCAGTATGAGTTTGATGTATTAATAGGTGCTGATGGAAAAAGAAATACATTATTAGGTAAATTTAATATATATATATATAATATATTTTAGTCTTAGATCATATGATTAGAATGTAAATAGATGTAGTTTAAAAATGCATCAAAAGTGTATATATGCTTTTGATGCATTTTTTATAATATACATAATTTTGATGCACATAAATACTATATACAGTTTAGCTGAAATTTTTAAATTTAGAAAATTATAGTATTAGAATTTTGTATAAGCATAATTTCTTCTCCTTTTCAAATTAATTAATATTTTAATTCTATTAANACGACTTTCTCACTATAACAATCGATGTAGTTCGAAAAGTTAAACGTAAGTACAAAATATTTTTATTTTACTAGTTTCATGACACATTACTGCACTAGAAAGTAGCAAAATATTTCAGATAAAAGTTTAAATTTTTCGTCCAGATGCGATCATATGCAAACAAGCATGATAACAAAATGGCGGCCATCTGACTATACTGACAACCATATTTTCAAAAATTAAATTTAAATAAATTCCTGTATTTATTTAATACTTCTTATTTTCAGGTCATATTTAACTTCTGGCAAATCTTAGGATTTTTGATGCCATGTTTGCTGTAACTTTGGATGCAGTAACCATGAATATTAGGGGCAAAAGTTCCTCAACTACAATAGCTTCCAGTCCTGAAAATGTGATGGCCTCTGAAATTTTTGATCAGTTTGTGTCTGCAGGAACATTTAAATCGGTATTATCTACTTATCGACAGTTGTGTGAAGTTCTTCGTTTAAAGCCAACAAATTTTCCAAACTTTTATCCTAAGTTAAAAGCAAAGCTTCATTCTTGGAAAGCTGCATCATTGTGGGCTAAATTAGATAAGAGAGCAAGCCATAAATGTTACAATCGTGGAAAAGCTTGTACTAATACACGGGTATAGTAATTTTTATTGATTCATTGTTTTTATTAAGTTGTTAATTATTAGAAGATATTTGTTGATTTTAAAATTTTGATTTTTTAAAAAATATTCTAGGTGTTAATAATAGGAGCTGGCCCTTGTGGATTACGGACAGCTATTGAATCTCAGTTGTTAGGTGCCAAAGTAGTAGTAGTGGAAAAACGTGATCGTTTCTCTCGTAATAATGTCCTTCATCTTTGGCCATTTGTTATACATGATCTCCGGAATCTTGGTGCTAAGAAATTCTTTGGCAAATTTTGTGCTGGTTCTATCGATCATATCAGTGAGTAAAGAGCATAATACATTACCTAAACATAATACTATTCCTAAATAATACATAACATTTAGGAAATAATTTGTCAAAAATACTAAATTTGTTTGCTTTTATATTTAGGTATACGTCAACTTCAGTTAATTCTTTTGAAAGTAGCTTTATTGTTAGGAGTAGAAGTACATGAAAATGTTACTTTTAAGAGTCTCCTACAACCAACGGAGGATGATTCACCATATGAAAATGTCGTAAGGTGGATCATCTTTTCCCATATGATTACATNTTTATTACTATTTAATTTTAATTTGTTTCTATTTTAATTAGTATTTTTAAATATTTTAAATTTACATATTGTCTACGAAGTTTACTGGAAAATAATTTCTTTATTACATCTTTATAAATTATTATTGCTTTTTATCATTATAAAAATACTGTATAATGAAAAACCTATATCCTCTTTTTCTTACAATTTTAAATAATTATGGTTTAAATTAGTCTTAAAAATATTTGAATTAAATAAAAAGAATGACAAATTAACACTTTATTATTTAAGTAAAACCAGAATTTTTTAAATTCTTAAACAAACTATAATATTAATATATAAATAATGAAAATAGTTATCCTATTTTCATTATTTATATATTAACAAATAGGAAAACTGTTTTCATTTAATTTTCAGCTTCATATCATTTTAGGCCCTTACATAATGTACTGTAAATTATGAAACTTGTTATTGATTCATTGTTTTTATTAAAATTTAATTATTAAATTGTTAATTATTAGATGATATATTTTTATTTAAAATTTTGATTTTTAAAAAATATTTTAACTAATATTTAATGGAACAATTTTTTGCAGTCTGAAGTGTCTTTAGTTTTAATGAATTAATATATATTTTTTCCTAAATGCTTCTTTTAAAATAATTGCTTTTATTAATGAAATTATTCTAGTAAATTTTTAAAATTTATGTAGAAGTTTCATGATTTGATTTAATTTCTAACATAATTTTGTCAGTGTCTAATAAAGGATATTATACATAAAGCTAATTACTTTCATTTTTTTTTATGCTTTTGTACAGTAATAATACAATTTTGTATTTTTTATACTGTAGTTTATATACTAAACAATTATAGTACAGTTTTTTTTACTGTACACTACAATTAAACAATATACAAACTTTTATTTCTATACATAATAAGTCTAGCATTGAATATCGATTTTCTCTTTGAAAAGCAAGATCTTTTAGATAAGAATCTATTAAATTATTATGAAGAATCTATTAAATTATTTTTTTATTTAAGTTTAGTAGATTGCAAAAACAATTTAACTTTTCAGAGTAAAGACAGCATCAAATAAATTACAGTGTACAAAAATTTTGGTCATAAGTACAATCATATCAAAAATTACTAGCATACTGCTTATTCAAGGTATTTGAAAAATATTTCTCAAACATTTTTGGCCTTCTTGAAGCCATCTTCAGCTACTAAAATTAAGCAGTTACATATTCTAAAATAGAATACTTGTTTGAAAATTATAATTGTACTATTTTAATTTTCAAACAATTATTCCATTTTAGCAGTTCTGATTTCAGTAGCTGAAGATGGCTATCTTCAGCTATTGAAATTCAAGAAGGCTAAAAATATTTGAGAAATTAAATATTTTTTGATTTCTTTAAATAAGCAGTATACAAGTAAGTTTTGATGTGTTTGTGGTATAGATTTAAAGGAAGTTGTGATATAGTTTTATGTAGAAATATAGTAGAAAGCTTAAACAATCTTCATTTGATAAAAATCATCATCCTTATCCTGGATATTAATATGCCAATTTATTTTAAAGATGCACAGGTTTACAACAGCATTTAAAAATGCTAAGATTAAAGCATAAAAATTCACAGAAAACATAATTCTAAATGACAAAATACAATTATTTGCAACTGAAGTTAAATAATTGATGTTATTTTTAGATGCTCATACTTGTAGTTTGTTAAAGAACTATTTGTTCTTATAGCCTTACATAAACATAAATGAATTTTTTAAAATTTTATAATGCTTATCAAAAATTAGTCTATAAATTGCAAATGAGTCTCTCTGAAAATAATTATAAAATGTGTTTTATTTTTACTCTCAATAATTTAAGAAAAAAAAAGTGAATTTTGGTGTGTGTGTATATACAGGACTGGGACAGTGACAACCACCATACAACGTGTGTATATATGTACATGTCACCCTACACACACACACACACACACACAGGGTAAGTTCCATAAGTAATGTGACTAATTTTTTTCCTGATGTGACAATACACAGTAGCTAGTTCTAACCTGCTGTGCTAGGTGGCATGGGGTGTTAGCTACAAAACTCGTTCGGTCTCATTTGCCTCCAAGCTACCAGCAGGTGAGGACATTCGTTCCCATAAACCCTGTTTTGGATTAATGTAACACGCCACAATGGATCATTTTGTGGAGTAACATTATGCTATCAAATTTTGTGTAATAATCTCTAAGGCTAAGTACTGGCACTTTAAGCACGGCCAAACCATTCACACTGATAACCACAACATCAATAAAAACAACTTTGAAAGCAGCATCGAATATGCTTGCACCAGGCACCTGGCAATTCCTAATCCTGTCAACTTTTTTCAGCCTGAATATACCAACATTGAAATGTATAGAGATGGATCTAAGGCAGACTTTAAAGTGGGTAGCGGTTTTGTGGCCTTCCATAACAATGAGGAAATTGCCTGTGGAAAGTACAGGCTAGGCAAGCACTGCATTGTTCTGCAGGCTGAGCTGTTCGCCATCAAAATGGTGATGGCTTGGTCAGTCACCAACTGTTAACACAACATTGTTGCCATTATTTTAGGTAGTGCTTTGGTCATTTCTCTGCTGCAAAGTGTTACCCGCCATTCCATTATTAATGACATACAGGATTCCGTCATGAACACCACTAACCACTATTTCATCTATTGGACACAGGCCCACCAGGGCAAACCTGAACAAGCAGGTCAACACTCTGGTGAAGTCATCAGGGAAGACTCCAGCCTCCTGATTGCATTTAATAAAATGACAGCTAAAACCATCAAAGCTTACTTTGGATGGACCTCATCAGGTCCTGGCAGCAGGATTGGGACAGTGACAACCACCATACAACGTATGAACTTATCCCTAATATGGGTCCTTCATAGCTAGCCAGTGGTACAAACCTTGCCACTGTGTTAGTCAATTTCTAACAAACCACAGCAGTTTCAACTTCTACCTGGCTAGGTTAACCAACACACCTTGCTCCAACTATTCCCTATGTGGTGTTCAGGATAGCAGTTGACACTACATCATCGACTGCCCAATGTTAGAACTGGAGAGATATTACCTCAAGACTACCATTGAAATGCACGGGGGTGAGTGGCCCACTGAGTGGTTTTTGATTATGAAGACACTTACAATGTCTTTCTAAAACTAATGAACAAGTACTTTGTATGAACCACAGTCAGCACCTACTCCTAGTTCCCTCTACCCAAGAGCCCTAGATAGTGGAGCCCCTAGAGTCACATTGTCTTCTCTGTCTCACCCTTCCCTGCTCATACCCTCATGTGCTTGTTGCCCATGCATCATCTTACTTCATCTCGTTACATCATCAAATTGGGTTTGTAAGTGTAATGTACTTGTAATTGAATATTTGTATTTGTATATGAATGTTGTATTTGTATTTGCACTTACACAACTTTTGGTCCCATATTTACCTTGTAACCAATTTACTGTAAATAATTTCAATGTATAATTCACTTATTTTTATGTTTTCTTTAACTCCAATACTATAATGTAAATATTCATACCCTGTTTGAGAACTGTAATTGCACTTGCATTTGTGCTGCAGTGGAACATCTGCATTGTATATGTAATCTACATTACTTTATGTTCTACTACTTTACTATTATGGTTCATATGAATTAATAATGTAACAAATTCCATTTAACTCCATACTGTCACTCTGATTGTTAAAATGTATTATTAACTTGTAATATTTTTTTGCTTTGTAACTGGGTTATGCTTATTACGGCACCCAGAATATACTGCTCTCAGTGTGTACCAATAAAATGTATGCATCAAATTTTGCATTAAACGTGGGAAGTTTGCCACTGAAACCTTTACATTGATTCAGCGGGCCTTTGAGAGTGATTGCTTGTCCAAATAACAAGTTTTCTGATGGCACAAGTCATTCAAGGATGGCCAAAAGGAGGTCACTGATGAACCCCATAGTGGATGTCCATGGATGTCCAGGATCAAAACCATGCTCATTGTCTTCTTTGACATCAAAGGCATTATCCATCATGAGTTCATACCTGCCAGGAACACTGTGAATGCAGCTTTCTACTTGGAAGTGCTCAAAAGACTGAAAAGGAGGGTCGCGAAGATTTCCATGCTGTCCTTGATTTTGCCGAAGCAAAATTAAGGACGCATGGAAACTTCATCACAACAACACACCAAGTCACAGCACCTTTGTTGTCAATGATTTCCTGCCCAGGACCACACCCCATTGGTTCCCCAGCCTCCCTACAGTCCTGACCTGGCTCCTGCCGACTTTCTTTTGTTTCCTCGCTTAAAGGAGGCCATGAAAGGGAAACATTGGGACATGATTGAAAACATCAAGGCTTATGTTACATCGGCTCCAAAGGACATTCTGGAGAAGGCTTTCCAGAATGCCTTCCAGGCCTGGAAACACTGCCTTCACAAGTGTATCAACGCAGGAGGGTGATGTTTCGAAGATTTTTGACTAATTGTAAGAATATGTTCAATAAATGATTTTTTTATGAATTTGGTCGCATTACTTATGGAATGCACCCTGTATATATATAGCATTTTTCACATTTCGAGATTATGCATAATAACAGCTTAATCGTTTATTAACTCAAAGCATGAAATATTTATATAGCTGAGCATGTTAAAAATATTATGATAGTTTTCTGTATAGACAATTTTGCAAACTACACAAACATAAAAATTTCAGATATAGAGATTTATGCTAAATTTAATATATCAAGACTTTTGATTGAAATTGAATGTTTTTATCTAGATATCAAATGTATAATCTATATGTAATTTTTTTAAGTCTGTTGTCAAAGAACAAATTAATAACAAGAACTAAAGTTAATTTATTAACTTTATATTTTAAGTTTATTTAACTTTTTATAAATTAAAGTTTTACATGTAAAACTTTAACAAATAAATTAGATAATTTCACATTGTCTTCAGATTTTAACATAAATACAATTTATCAATTTATTATCAAACTAATATACAGTTATATACTATGTATGTTTCCCTGGTAATTAGATTCTAACCATTTTACCAAAAAATGATTTGATTATTTATATCTGGCTGATTTTAGTGAATTTGCTAATTTTGCACCAATTTTTCAGGAGTGGGATGGCATGCAGAAATTTCACCATCAGATCATCCTGTATCTCAGTATGAGTTTGATGTATTAATAGGTGCTGATGGAAAAAGAAATACATTATTAGGTAAATTTAATATATATATATATAATATATTTTAGTCTTAGATCATATGATTAGAATGTAAATAGATGTAGTTTAAAAATGCATCAAAAGTGTATATATGCTTTTGATGCATTTTTTATAATATACATAATTTTGATGCACATAAATACTATATACAGTTTAGCTGAAATTTTTAAATTTAGAAAATTATAGTATTAGAATTTTGTATAAGCATAATTTCTTCTCCTTTTCAAATTAATTAATATTTTAATTCTATTAAATAAATATTCTTAAATGGTAAGAAACACTTGACTATCAGATTAGTGATTAATTTTCATGAACATTTGAATAATAATTTGAAATGTATTTCATTCTTTCTGTTCTTTGGGTAGTTAGAATTACCAGACCCACACTGGGGTAGCTGATGGTTGGTGAGGGATGAGGCAAAATAGTGTGTGTGTGTATGTAGAAGTAGAAACAATTTGTTGTGTATTTTTTAAGATTCTTTGTTAGCCCAAAGAATCTTAAAAAATATTACTTTTTGCTTTCTACAAATTTAACAATTTCATTTAAATTGAATTTATTATAATTCTTTTGATGATTTCAGATATTATCAATTTGGTAAACTCAGATTTATTTACTATCAAAATTCTTTACCTACAATGATTGAAATTTGTTATATGGTGCTATATAATATCTCAATAGGGCATGGAAATTTCAACAATATTTATATCTATCAAACTACAAAAGTTGAGAAAATGTTAATTTTCTCATTCTAAAATTGATTTGTGTACAGATAATTTTTTAATATAATGTTTACTTTAAACTGTTTTTTAATATACAATTATTTGTTCAATCATTTTAAAAACTGTCTTAAATTTTGATTCAGATAAAAATACTTTTTTAAAAACATTTTATAGTTTAATGAAACTTTTAATGGCTAATACACTGAATGCATATGGAATTATTTAATAATTATTTTAATACATAATACAAAAAATAATCTGCAGTTTATAATTTGACTAATTTAAAAAGGCCAATTAGTCTTGTTATAGCCCAACACATAATCTGGCAGTTTGTTTGGCATTACTAATTGAATCAAGTTGATGTATATGTTACTATATACAAAAATTATAATTAATAATTTAAAAAAATAATTACTAAAAGTTATCTTTTGTTTACAGTGAATGTTAATATTTTTAGTATTTATGTTTCATTGAAGAAAGAAATAATACAAAACACTTTTAGTTTAAATTAATATAGTAATCTAAATTGCTTCCTAAATTAGTTAATTTGAAATATGAACCACTAAATATTTAAAAAAAATTGTAGCAGTTGCTGAAACATAAAAAATTTTACATTCCTCTTGTGAATATTACTGCTAACAGCTGTTTTAAGTAAGAAACATCTGTTCTGTTTTTAACCTTGATTTTGGAATAATTGATAACTGGTCATAATGTGCTTCCAAATGAATATGCAAATTATGTAAAATGTTTAGTTGGCTAAATGTTTAAATAAGCTAAAAACATTTTGATAATTATTAATCCAATATATACAATTTTAATTATAAATTACATTAACTGTCAGACTAAAGTAGTCTTGTTTTGTTATTTGATACAGTGCTTCAATCAGTATTACATTACACTATGTATATGTAACAAATGTTATTTTTTTAATATTTCAGCAAAATATTTTAGAATTTAGAAATGAAACTTGATATAATTGTTTATGAATTGCCATTCATTTAAAAATTTTTTGTTTTTAATGTTTTGTGATAATTAAAAATACAAGTTATTTCATTTTATCTATATAAAAGCATTTTCTATATTTTAAATGTTGTTATTAAAGTAAAAAAAAATATATATATAATAAAATTATTAAAATATAAATTATTAATCTATATATATAAAATTGCTTGTCCTGACTGACTCATTCACTCACTGATTCATCATTGCCCAGAGCAAACTGCTGAACCTAAAGAGGTGAAATTTGGTACACAGTTAGGGTACGTCATGAAAATGCTTACTAAAGGCTGCTATACACCACGGGTTAATCCTTTGAGACTGCCTGTCCTCGAGGAACTTCCGAATATCCTATCGCCCAAAAACGAAGAAAACCTCTCAGCAGAGGGTGGGGCAGCTTGCCCCGGGCGCCACTGGCAGAGGGGAGCCTAATGGTTTCCAAGAATAACAAAATTTGTTTCTGGAGGGGGAGGGGCGCCAATATAGTGTCGCGGCCCGGGTGCAGTTACGTTCGCTACGTCATTGTGTTTATTATTACGCCACTGATGTTTATTGGCAACAAATTCTATTAAAACTCGCGGGAAAAAAGTATGCATAGAAGTCTATGGTGTAAATAGTAGTAGTAGTGGTTTGGGTAGCACTGATCACAAAATTAATTTTTCATACGAATAATTTTTTAATGGAATTATTTCAGATCACAAAATTAATTTTTCAAGAGAAATCTTGGGCTATAGATTATGTTAAAAAGCATCAATTATCAGCGAAAGACAATGGCAAGTCGATTTTACTACCAAAAAAATTCATGGATTAAATTTTATAGACGAATATATATTAATAATTCTCAACCACATCCGATATTAGTACAAATTGTAAACATTATTATCGCAAATTAATTTTATAATTTAATAATTTAAAAGAATTTATTAAACTTTGTCTTATTTTAAGTCGTCATATTTTAATTTACTTGGATATTAAAACAATAAATTTTTGAAAATGTAAAAGAAAATGATAAAGAGTATCGAGATGTTTTATGAAAACGGAAGAAATGAATTGAGAAGTTTTCTAAATATTAAAATTATTTATAATTTTGATTTACTCGAGAAATTTTTGATCTGAAAATAATTTATAACCTGAAAAATTAATTTTTTAGGTTGTAAATAATAAAAGTTAATAAGGTTATAGAAAATAATTCTTCCAAACATTCACAAGACATTGTTCTCACACACGTTTAGGTCGGCCTACGCAGTCTGACACTGTGCCAGGAAAATCAAATGGTTTTTCAATTCTACTCGGGTGGTCGATACAGGTCGCCGAAGCTGTTAAATTGTCCCCCATAAACTACCAAAAATTATAAAGGTCAGGCATGCATGATTACTCCTTTGGGAATTAACCTGAAGAATATGGCCGATTCTACTCGGGTGGTCGGTACAGTTCGCCGAAACTGTTAAATTTTCCCCCCCACACATCCAGTAATGACTCAAAATCAGGCATGCATGGTTACTCCTTTGAGGATTAACCCATGGTGTATAGCAGCCTTAAGAAGGGATTTTTCGAAATTTCCCCGCAGGGAGAGAGCATTAAGGCTTAACCGGAAAAATGGCTTCTGCTGTATTATTTTAGATGCGATTTTTTGTTATGTTTAGTCTTCATTACATACTTAAGTGTATTAAATTAATAACATTTCAGACATTGTTATAAATATTTTTATATATTTTGATTTTTTAACCAAATGTTCGAACCCTTTTTAAATTTGAATTTGTTATTGCGTATCGGTTCGATTATAGAACGATTGTAAACATTCCAGAAAATTGATCAAATTGAAAATAGTTCATTTGATTCTCAGCAATTCTCATCATTCTTGGCGGTAGGTGTTATATAACAATTACTATGGTTGTTGAAATACTGAATATAAATGGGGTTTGCTTGCAAAACCTCCACGGGTGAAGTCGTGGGTAACAGCTAGTAAATATATATATAAATTTGCAACATTTTAGAAATTTATTTTTATCATCATTAGTAATTATCATATTTACTATCTAAATTATTAATAATGAAAATATTGATTAGCAGACATAAATTTTTAGATTAAGTAAAAGTATCATGACCAAAGTAGTTTATCAAATTTCAAAATTATCTAATGAGTAATAATTCAGGAATTAATATTGAAAAATTCTTAATCTTATTTTAGAAACTTTTTTTTGATAATTTTTCCTACTTATATGAATACTAAAACTTAGATTTATTAAAGAGGACTTATTAAAAAAATCCTTGTTGAATAAATTTTTTGTATAATATAACTTAAGGATAAATGTAAATTAATCAAATACCTTTATAGGTTTTAATAGGAAAGAATTTCGTGGAAAATTAGCAATTGCTATTACTGCAAATTTTATCAATAGACACAGCTTAGAAGAAGCCCAAGTTTTAGAAATTAGTGGTGTTGCTTTCATATTTAATCAGAAATTTTTTCAAGTAAGTCTGAAATGTCTTTGTATTTTAATAAGAGATTCATTTATTTTGATATTTTTCTCAATGTTGAAGTCAACTTAGAAAGTAAAAATAACATGACTTTTTATAATTATAAGTTATCATCAATTTCAAATATATATAACTAGTGTGTAAGATATAATAATATATTTGGATGATGTCAGATATGTTATACAGATCTTTTTCCATATCAGATGAAATCTCAAAAATATCAATAGCATAATTTGGGTTGGCTGAAACATCGCTTTGTCTAAATGATTATGTAACTTCACACTAATGACCTCATAAGTATTATTGATTCTCATAAATTGTCTTAAAATATTGGTCTTATTCTCCTTAACAAGAACAGTAGGCGATGTGAAAATCAAATTTATTGAAGTGTGATGAACTGGTACTGGGGACAGAGTTTCCTAACATAATATGTGAAGTAAGATTACTCACAAATTTCCTGAAAATCTCTGAAGAAAGATTCCTTATACATCTTATTCTTTGAGGTGTTCTGTAGAAGAGCGCTACATATCCATCATCTTCAATTTGACAGACTTTGGTAACATATTCTGTTGGAGTTCTTTTTCTTTCTTACACTTTCACTACAGAGAAGTCACCAAGTTTAAGAGATGTCCTCACAGAAATAAATCAAGATCAATATAGAAACTTACAAATACTTGTAGATCTATTTAACTACTTTAGTGCTAGGTCTCAAACTTCTTCAAATTTTAAAACACTGATTATTGAAAAAAAATTGCATCAGATGAATAGAAAGTAACTTTTAATGTTTCTATTTACCTCATGAATTCAAAACCATTACATTATATAAAGATATCAGTGATTATAAAAAAGCATTCAAAATTTGAGAGAATTCAATGAAAATTTAATGAAATGATACTAAGACAAAACCATAATATCATACAATTTTTCAATAAAGAGTCTTATATGACACTTAATTTAATTAACAAAATTTGTCAAACATTGAGAGCATATTCAACCATGATAATGTGCAAACAAGACTGGCATCTAGAACAGTGTTGCCAGCCTAACAAAACATTATGTTCAAAGATATATCATTGAGAAATTTCTGATTTGTTGGTTAGTTTCTTTGTCAGACATGTATAAAATTTTGTAATGTTTATCCATTCTAAATTATAATATTCTTAGGATGTTCTTAGAAAAAAAATTTGATACTTTAAGTTAAGAACAGTATCAGTTTTTACTTTTTACTGTCTTTACTGGTATTTATTAAAATATATCATATGAATTCTCAATATTATCAAGAATAACATGCCAAAGAGTCTGTGAAATTCTAATAAAATTGATATCATTTCAATATATTTAACTAATTATATATAAAAGTGGTGGGTGTTTGTACACGTGTGTGAATGTGTGCAGGCAAAATTGTAGAATATTATACTGTAGAGTTGAATTTCATAGCAAATATATTTGGCTTTGAATGTAAAAGAATTATCAAATTAAATTATATCCAATATTTTAAAATTTTGTAGGATATATTGTAGTAATTACCATTTTAAATAATGTTTCTGCATTAAAATGAGATGATATAAGCTAGATTACTAACTAATTAATTTTTTGTAGTAATTAACTATTTAAGTTAGAATTATTACTCATTAATAGAAGTGCAAAATTTATACAAGTTCTACAGTTACAATAAATAGGAAAAAGAAGTAGCTTATTTTTATTATTTGTCTTACCATTCAGCATTTATTTGTTCTTAGAACTAAAAATGAAGTGTCCTATAATATTTTTCTGGTAATAAATTTCTGGACTTCTGTTATTATAAGCTGAGTTTTTTTTATATATCATTTCAAATAGTTAGACAAGACAAAATGGCATTAATTTATATTAGCTTAATTTTTTAATGCTATATTTATTTATTTATTTAATGAACTTCTATAATTATAGTTTTATATCAGATCAATATTAAAATATAGATTGAAAACAAATAAAATCAAACAAAAAATGTTAATTTTTGTAAAGCATACATAAAGCTTTTTTCTTCATAGTTTTATAGTTTTGATATAAAATTATTGATTAAGAATAAATCATAATTGATACATTATAAAATAAAATATTTTTAATGGCAAAATTTATCCATCTCTCCCAAACCCCTTCTCCATAGCCTGTGTTTTTAAGGTTAGTCTTGCATGTGTGAACACTGTGGCTCTGACCTCTTGTCTCTATCTCCATCTCTCTACTCTGATCCCATATCTTAGTTCACAGCAGGCAGAGCCTTGTTGAAAAACCAAGTTTGCTTTGAAAAAAGTGCAGTTAGTAGAAATAATTAATACTAATAATGATGTTTAATTTTAAAACTTTTTAAAAATTAAAATAAATTTAAGTAATTTAAAAAAGTTACAAAACAAAGTATTAATAAGGCTAAAAATAAATATATTAATAGTAATACAAAAAGTAACAGCAATAATAATTGGGAAAATCAACCATTGTTTATTAGGAAACAAGTTATAAATGATCAATCAGTTACTTTGCAAACAATTACTAATGTCTAACAAGGCTAGAATATTCCTTTTCAATCTGCTATGAATTTATACTTATTCAGTACCTTGACATCATAACTACTGGCTACCTCATATACATTATACTTTGCATGTTTCCTGCTGGCAATAACTCTAGGCATTTGAAGTTTATTTATTTATAAATTTAGTTTAGTAGAAGTTTTGGTTTTCAAAGTTATTTGTTATTTCTGAGAGTTCGGAAGTCATGGTTAATAATGGTCTCCAAAGAGACAAAGCTGAATGGTAAGATTGTTGTTTGTTATTTTTTTCTCTTCAGGAATGTGAAGTAGTCACTCTAAACTAAAAAAAATTCCCAAAATAAACATAAGTAAACAAAATAAGCACTGAAGAAAAAACATTTGGTTCTTTTTCTTCACTTGTTTTGTCAATCACAGTATTTCTTTAAATACTATGTAGGCCTATTTAATAAAACTTTAAATACTATGTATTTAAAGTTTTAATTTATTATTAAAATTGGACGTGTAAGCATCTTTAAATTAAAATTTCATCAAAAGTATCATGACCAAAGTAGTTTATCAAATTTCAAAATTATCTAATGAGTAATAATTCAGGAATTAATATTGAAAAATTCTTAATCTTATTTTAGAAACTTTTTTTTGATAATTTTTCCTACTTATATGAATACTAAAACTTAGATTTATTAAAGAGGACTTATTAAAAAAATCCTTGTTGAATAAATTTTTTGTATAATATAACTTAAGGATAAATGTAAATTAATCAAATACCTTTATAGGTTTTAATAGGAAAGAATTTCGTGGAAAATTAGCAATTGCTATTACTGCAAATTTTATCAATNATAGAGTAATTTTTTTTTCTATTAAAGGATATGAAAGAAGAAACAGGAATAGATTTGGAGAATGTGGTCTATTATAAAGATGATACACACTATTTTGTAATGACAGCAAAAAAACAAAGTTTATTAGACAGAGGTGTAATATTAAAAGTAGGTATTTTTATGCTTAAAAATTTATTGTAATAAGCTTTATACATAAATACTTTTATCAGTTTTATGTACATATTGTATACAGGAATTTTTTTGATCTTACAAATATTTGTATGTCAGTAATTTGTATTTTACATTTTATCATCAAACCTTAAATCATAATTTTATAATAACTGCTGTATCAATCTATTTTAGTTCTATTTTATTTAATCTTGAATGAATATAACCTAATAGTTAAAAAATTTGTTTTAAAATAACTATTAATTTTGAATTAGATATTAAATGTTTCAAATAGTTATATATTTTTAAAAACATATTACAATCAAATTACAGCAATAACTATGAATATGCCAAATTAATTATTACCAATGGATTAATATAATAGAATGAGATTATGCAAATTTTCAATTCCTTTATTCCAACTATTTTTTTTTTTAATTGATTGATAACACTTCTGACTTTGTTAAAATTTTGTTCCTCTAATAAATATAAGTAACCAAAATTCAGATGAAAAAGATTAAATTGACAGCCATGGCATTTCAGATTAAAAATTATTATGAAAAATTTATATTACATATTTTTTTTAAACCTCCTTTTTTATTTTAGTGAATTTAATCATATATAAAAACAATAATTTTTGTGTCATTACACAGTAATATGTGTAATAAGAATAAATATTTATATTATTGTAGTTAATTTCAATATGAATAATTTGTGGATATCCAGAACAAAATGTTACATTTCTATTTTGGGGAGAAACTTATTTCTTTTTTAATTGGATCATGTTTTATTTGATAAAGTTTGTAGAAATGTATATCTAAATCTCATCAAAATATAGCCTGCTACAGTGGTGTCCAACTTAAATTGTTTACTGGGCCAAAAATAAAAATACACTGTGGACTGCACACATTTATTTATAAGAAAACATTTACAATTATACAGCATTTTGTATGTGTTTTAAAGTGAAACTTGTTTTTCAATTTTTTTCACTTAATTTTTAAAATCAACAGGTTTTTTCAACATTATACAACGTAGTTGGTTTTTTAAATTTTCATCGGTTAATCTATTACAACTTTTACATTTAACAATCTTCAATTTTGAGAAAAAGGATTCATAAAGATGGTAGACAAAAACAATGACAAATGAATAGCTCTGAAGATTTTGAACTTTTTTCCCAGGGCTCCTCTATGCTCAAGAATTAAATTAACAACTTCAATATTCTTGCTGATTATTGAAACTGTGACATTTGTGGTGATCCCAATTAGACTTGCTAATTTCAGGCCATGGTCATGTAAGCATTTTATGACAGCTTCTTGTATATTTTTTCTGGTAATTGTGTCTTTCAAACTCATAACATTGAGAACTTCTTCAGTCACATTCATTCACTATCTACACCTCAACTAAAAATGGCAAGTTGAGCTGTATCCTTAATCTGTTGTTTCATCCAAAGCCAGTGAGAAATACACGAACTTCTTAGAAACCATGTTCAGCATTGAACAAATTTCATTTGAAATGTTATCAATTCTTTGTGCTATAGTTTAATGTAACAGGCTAATTTGACTGAAAATCTTGACTAATTCTGGAACAATTTCTTTGGCCTCAGTGATAATGCATTCTTTGATATATTCACCATCCTAAAACAGTTTTATTTTTTTCCCAATAATATGTGATATTTGCATGTTGGCGTTTGATTGAACTGTTTGCTTATGAAATACATTTTGTTTTGCAGTCAGACTTGCCATAAGTATTTGTAATTTCACTTTTCATTCATTGCTAGTATATTTTTTAAAATTATCATATTTCTATTCATAATATTTTTTCAAATTGTATGATTTTAATATTGAAGTAGTCATGACAAATTAAACATATAGTTTTGGAAAAATTTATATTTTTGAAAGACACTCATTTTGAAAATGTCTATTTTTTGTCTTCAAATTTTTTTCAGACATAATGGAAATAATGGGTCTAATAGAAAAAAAATTGAGTAAAATTTTATTTTTAATTAATCACATAAAATAAAATTACTCACTGTTTATTTGGTTTGGTTTGTATTGAGTTATTTGTTAATATTTCACATACACAATATGTTTAAGCTACTAATAAAACAACAAGTCCCTGGTAATTATAAATGTGGCAATAATAAATTCAACACTTCATTACACTGTAAAGTCTGTTAATTAACAGAGATACCTAAACAAAATAACTTTATTAAAAATGGCTGCCAGGTCAAAAAAAACCAGTAACTAACATCTGAAATGACCTACAGCACATAACCATTACATGAAATGACCCTGATGGCTAACTATACTCAAATAACTTACACAGTAAGACATAATTAAACTCTTTAAGAATCTAAACATAGATTTAAAATTTTAAATCATTCTATGTGAGATTTTGGACACACCCACCCTAATTAATTGAAATTTGATGTCAAAAACATAAATTTTTGATAGTAATATTTCTGATTTTAAATGAAAAGTTTTAATGTTGAAAATGAAGGAAACTGATAAAAGTCACTTCCTTCTCCATGGAAGTTCAACATTCTTTTTGTTTTCCCTTATCTTTACAAATTTTGAGTCACGTACAGTCCTGTTACCCCTCTGTAAACCCCCATTCATCCTAAACACCTGGGAATAATACCATTCTCTGATTGGAGAAAAACATCAAAAAAGGGGATTCTTGAGTATCATTTGGGGAGTACACCAGAAGATCTCAAGTAGGACAGACGTATTCCATATAAGCTCCTTATGGCCAACGCCCATAACCGAATCCCAAAGTTTCTACTAAAAGAGTTAAATAATCATTTTTCTTCTATAAAAACTACTTATTATGTGCCATTAAAGAACTAATCAAGATAAGAACATTTGTCTAGAACTTGGTCTAAAGAAAAAGATAAGAGAAATATGTTCTGAGGTAGTAAGATTTTAGCTGAAATTGTAATCTCTCTCTCTGCGAAATAGATATAATTGAAGCTCCATATTGTATAGTTTTTCTATTTTATTAAATACTCGTTTTTATATTAAGTAAGGTCTAAATGTCTGAATCAAAATATTTTATCATCTCCATAACTTTTCCATTTTGCATGTTAATCTGCATACGATAAAATTGATTAACTGGTATCAAGGATCCTGATGATATCTAGGATTCATCCCCTAGATCTTCCTTTTAACATAATAAAGCCCTCCACACTCGATTTCTTTAGATAGAAAAGTCATTCTCTTGGACAACCCGAGGGCTATTCCAGCGAATAGCCACTGATTAAGTGATACTATAGTCTTACCTACTCCGTATCCCCAGCTAGCCCCTCACATCTATGTGCACATGTAAATGTTTAGTTCTAATTTAAATTTTATTAGGCTTATTTCAAAGAATTTAAAGATAACAATAAAATCTTTTATCATTTATTGGAAACATAGCAGACCATTGTAACTTAAAAATGTGTCTATTGTTTGACATTTATTTCACATAAAGGTCAAATTTAAGGAAATATGATTTTGTCATACCAAAACACAAATTTAAAATCTTTTGTTGTTGTAAACATATTGAAGAAATTCATATATGTACTGTACAGTATATACATATATACTATATGTAATACATTTGGAACTTTGTTAAAAAAAATATTTAATAACTTTTTTAATTTCTGAGTGTAGGTGATGAGATGTTATATACTACATTCATGTATTTAACTATACTTGTGATATTTCATTGTAATAAAAATTATTCAAGATAATTAATTTTAAAATGGATGCATGCAGGCCACAGGTTGGACATGATGGATCTAGTATATTAAGTCATAATATCATACTACACATTACGTAATTCAAGGTATTAGCTTTTACCTCTTTCTGATTTAAAGGGTTTATTGTGGAAATAAATTTTTTTTTTCTGAACTTCCTCATTTATGCAACATTGAGTTAAATAAATAACAGAAACAAATCATTTTGTAGTACATGTTATTTTAAACTTTCTTGTTATGGATTACAGTATAGGAAAGGTGTATTCATTTACAGGTTTGTCTTGGATAATACAGAACTTTGATTAATTACATTTCAGATAATTGGGGTTCTACTGTATATAGGATTGGCCTTGTTTTTTAAATTATTAGTTTTATCACAATTCAAATAATGAAAACTAGGATTATAGGCACATTAAGTGTGATACTATCTTGCATACCACATGTGTAATCTACCTGTTCACTATTCTGGAGGACTTCTTACTGGTTCTTTCCCGAATTGACTTCTTTATTTGCCTGAATAAAGTCGTTGATTGTAGAATTGAATAGTGTTTATTAGCAACTGAAATTTAGGGAAAGAACTGGTAAGATGTCCACATATTTAGTGTATTACAAAAGAAATAGCAAATTGTAGAAGTGATAATTGTTAATAATGTACAGTTTAATTCAATTGATCAAGAATCTGTAATCATCAGATATTTTAAATGTTTAGAAATTTTTTATTTTAATATTTATATGGGAATATATAGTCACAAGTTCTTTTGTTAAGTTTAATTATGTTTATAAAGAATTTTTCTATTTAACAGATTGTAACAATTACTTAATAAATTAAATTTGTTAAACAGGATTATAATGATACTGCTAGACTATTAGCATCAGAAAATATTGACAGAGAAGCTCTGATGGATTATGCTAGAGATGCAGCTAATTTCAGTACAAATAATCAACTTCCTAGTACAGACTTTGCAGTAAATCATTATGGCCAGGCTGATGTTGCAATGTTTGATTTTACTTCAATGTATGCTGCAGAAAATGCAAGTCGCATTATTGAAAGGAAAGGTTATAAATTATTGCAAGGACTTGTTGGGGATAGTTTACTAGAGGTATGAAATGTATTTTTATGAAAATTATATATAACAAAAATGTTTAAAGTCAATCTTTTTGTAGCCTTTTTGGCCAACAGGATCTGGTTGTGCAAGAGGTTTCTTAAGTGCATTAGATGCTGCTTGGATGATCAGGAGCTGGGCTTCTGGTAAAATGACACCATTACAAGTATGTATACATCATTTTATATGGATACATCATTTTAAAAGTTTATTTGTAATGAGACTAATACAATAAAATTTTTTAATAATAAAAAATCTTATTACTAGTTATGTTAGTTTAGTACTAGTTATAGTATATAGTCCTGATATAGTCATTGTATCTTTATCTTATTCTTTTTCATAACTAGAAAAATTAATACTATATAAATTTAAAATCACAATTTGTCCTATGATGATTGTTTTAAAGATTTATTTTAATTTTAGGTCTTAGCAGAAAGAGAGAGTATTTATAGATTACTAGCACAAACCACTCCTGAAAACTTAAATAAAAATTTCAACCAAAATACACTTAATCCTTCAACTCGTTATCCTAACCTAGTAACACATGCAATTTTACCTGCTCAATTAAGACCTCTGTATGATACAGATAAAGAAATCAAAGATGAATTGCCAGATATTATACAGGACGTTCCAAAGAAACGAAAAAGGAGAGGTAACTGCATTAATGTTACTAAATTATTATTTAAATATTTTAGTTTTTATATAAGTGTGAGGAAGATGCTTTTGTTTTTAATTTATAAAATATTTTACATCATTTTAAAAGTGTATTTGTAATGATACTAATACAATAAAATTTTTTAATAATAAAAAAACCTTATTACTAGTTATAGTATATAGTCATTGTATCTTTATCTTATTTTTTTTCATAACTAGAAAAAATAAAACTTCTTCAAAGAATAAAGAAATCTAAGAATTTCATTTTGTAATAAAATTATATTTTTAATTTGTGTAGAAAAAATATTAAAAACAAATGAAACTTTTTAAATAAGTTTTTTTTTGTTTGTTAATTTTCAAATATTTATTAAATATAATAGTGTTTTTATCATTTTATTATATTTATAGTGATAATATCATAATATAAATCATAGAAATTTTTTTATAGAATCTATATTTATAGATTCTATATTTAGAATCTATAGATAGATTCTAAATATGAATAGAATCTATATTTATACTAAACTTTGATCATTTGATGGTCAGTTCTTAATTATCTTGGGTTATGTCATGATTGAGAAATAATTCCCAAATTGTCCGAATACAAAAAACTTCAAGAGTATTCTATTTAATTAGTTAAACTTTTTAAATATAGTTGTAAATTCATTTTGTTTATAAAATATAAAATCATAGCATATCATAATAATGGTATTTTTTTATATAAATGTTTAAAATCTACATTGATAAATTTTACTAGTTTTGTATTTCATTCATTGATCATGTATATCAGAGAGTAGATTTTAATAGTGAATATACAGTGACTCACAAAAGTCGTCAAACAGATAATTTTACTGCAAATTAAAAGTTAGTTATACACAGCAGTAAATATTTCAATGACATATTGAATTGCTTTTCTTTCCAACACAGTTTTTAGCCTATTTGGCATTGATTTTACTAGTTTTTCTGTGATGATCACTTCAATTTTTGATCATGTTTAAGAGCACTTTCCAGTTCATTTCTGTTGCCAATACTATTTTTTTTTTTTAATTTTTATCTAATTCATTCCATAAATGTTAGATTACATTTAGGTCAGCCAACTGTGATGGTATTTCATTCACTTTTGGGCAGTTATACAGTAGCCACTGCTAAATTTTCTAAGACTTATGTTTTGCTCATTATCCTGATAAAAATGGAAGGCATTCAAGATACGTAGTTTTTCTGCAGAAGTCTTTAGATTTTGTTTCAAAACATTTAAATGTCCTTCTCCATTCATATTTCTATCAATAAATATAAATCTTCCAACTCCAGAGGTTGTCATATCATAACACTTCCTCCTCCATGCTTCATTCTCAAATCATAACACTTAATCCTTCATGTTTTATTGTTGGCACATTGTTTTACTTATTCACTTCATAGTTTAGCCTCCTCCACATTATAGTTCAGTCATTAGAATCAAAGATGTTAAATTTGTTTTTGTCTACAAATATTACATACGTCCAGTACCCATAATCTTTATCCACCATCTTTTTCTGCAAACTGATGATGAGCTTTCCTTGTTTTTTTTTTTTTTTCCAGTAGCAAAAAATTTTCTCCTGGCTACTCTACCATTATATATATCTGTTACTGTGAAAGACTGAAATTAGTGAATGTCGATATTCTCTGGTGAATGTCGACACATACAAAATACGTCGGTGAAAGACCAAATATGTGGTTATATTATTATACATCTGAACAATTGCTGGTGTATGTCGACAAGCACAGATAGCTTTGGTGGAGGTTGAAACGACACCCAAGAAGCCGATGTCGACAGAGAGGCGACAGTCTGTTGCCAAATCCTTTGTGGGTAGCTGGAGGTAGGACATGGTTGTACCTCTTTTCCTGACAACGGTTTGGTGGAAACCACTTTGTCACTGGATGGCGTTTTTGTTCTTTTGATCCCGTGAGATGAGGATCGGTTTGTCAGGTCGAGTGGCGGAGGATGAGAGGGATCGTATGCAAGGCATTGGCTGTATCTGAATAAAAGGCACCATTAACAGCTCAGTTCGTAATCACGTAATAACATAATCAGTTCGTAATTTGTAAAGAAAAGTTACTTTTCATAGATGAGATTTCTTCTCAAGAAATATCGCTGAGAGAAGCAGCTGCAGCTAATTCGAAAAGTGGAGGGCAAGGCTATACACGCTGTCATTGCAAAGAGAAGTGTTCCACGAATAAATGCAGTTGTAAAAGAAAGGGACTCTTGTACAATTCAAAGTGCCATAACAGTTTAAGTTGTTGCAATAAATAGATTGTATAATGTTAATCACATAATTTATGTGTAAGTTTATTATTGTATTATTTTCTTTAATGATTTAGAATGTACTGTTCATTTTAGGTTCAACAGTTTATTTACATGTGTTGTTACTAAAGCTTTCTCCTATTTTGACATATTAAAATGTTGCATTTTTGTCTTAACGTAATAAAAATATTTCTATTCAACATTCACCATCAGTGCATGCTGAATGTCGACATTTGCCGGTGTAAGTGAGAAATAATATTTAGCAAATATTTTGTACATACACAAAACGACTGTGTGAATGCTGACATTCACTGGAGAAATGTTGACATTCGCCAGATATTGGTCATTCACAGTAACATATCCACTTCCCCACAGGACACTCTTTATTGTTTCCTTGTTTCTGGGTGAACATAAACTCCATTGTAATTTTTCAACTGGATGTTTTAATGTACTTGTATTAGGATTATTTTTGTTTTTTGGATTATATGGCACTTATTTTGTTCTGTTAACAATGCAGGACATTCAGATCTTTGTTTATTCACAATTGTGTTCATCCCTGTATCTTTTTATAATTTCTACTTCTTAGAACACTACTATCATCTCTGATATTCCCAATTTATAGTGATCTATCATCAATTTTCCAATACATAATGTAGTTTCCTGTTAAGATTTTTTTCATTATTGCTAAATTTGAGCAGAACATGAAAATAAAAAATTTACAATGATTGTAACTGTTTGTAAACAGAACATTACAGAGTACAATAGAATTTTGGATAAACTCATAAAAATCATAAATAATAATGTTATTTTTTAAGCTGTCTAATGAATTTTGTGACAGATTTTATAGTATGATAAATACTTTTTGATTTAATTAATAACATAATCAAACAGGGTAATGCTATAAAGTTAATTATATTTAAAGGAAATAAAAGTAAATTTTGTAGAATATTACTTTTACACTAGCAATTTTGAAATAAATTAGTTTTATCAGAAAAGTGTCCAATGACTTTTGTGAGTCACTGTATGTAAAATGAGTAGAAGTCTATAAATAACAAATTTATCTGTTCTCATCAAATTTCTCTTTCCTTTATACAAGAATTACAAGGATGATTCAACTTCTAACTGGAATTTTAGTAATGGCAATGGAACAATATGGAAATGTATATTATAATCCCAAATTTTTTTTATAAGTACTCCTCCTCCATACATACATACATACATACATACATACATACATACATACATACATACATACATACATACACTGACACTTCTCCCATTGTTTTGGCAACAATGGGAGAAGTGTCAGTGCCTACAGAATAAAGTATTAAAGTATTTTGACTGGTGTTGGAGTATGATCCAGTGCATGATGGTCATCATTGGATCATCTGGCCTACAGTCTGGATTTGTCACCATAAAATTATCACCATTAAAGAGAGCTTTGGGAGATAAGCTACTGCATGAAGAACTCTCTAAAGTGGCTCTGATACCAGTCAAAATACTTCTATTCTGCAAGAATATTATCATAACTAAAACAATGGGAGAAGTGTCATTGTGTGGACAGGGAGTACCTAGATTTAAAAAAAGCCATAAATTGGTTATATGTAACACACAGTTTCATCAGCTTTACTGAAATTCTGGATTTTTGTATATGTAAGAATATACAAGAATTGTTCTTAAACTGAAAGAAAAACATTAACAAATTTCACTATACAGTTAAATCCCACTCATACATTTTTAACTTCTCCTATTGTACGTTTTACAATTATACATCAAATATTTTGTGCATGGTAATTTCCATCATAAAACATTTTGGTTGTACATTTTTCATTTATACAATTTTTGCACTTATAGATCATAATTTTCAGTATCCTATAACACTTTTTTCCTCACTTATATGATGCTCATATTATTAAAAATGATGAAAAAGCAAATTATGTATTCACTTCAGCTTAGTTCATGCAGATATTGAATTACTAGCAAATGTAAAAATCAGAGCAAATCATATGTAACATATACTGCTATTTCTGATGAATTTTCCCATTTAGCAAATCACTCTTTCAGTCCAACATATTGAACATTTTTGCTTTTGATATTTTGTAATATGAATCAATTTCAATTATGAAATAAAAATTACTTTTTGGTTTCTCATTCATTTTCACTATTTGATATCATTATCTTCATTCTTTTATATGACTAGAATTTTGCAGGATACAACTGATGTCACAAGTGTGTGATAAGTCCATTGTAAAAAGAAACAAACAAACTTTATCAATTTTATTTAAAGTACATGACTTAATTTCACACTGTTTTACTTTTTTTTATATGTTCAAATTTATTATACATGTAGTAAATTGAAACTTCTATGTAAGAATTGCATATACGGATTTAGTTATACCATGTTAATTTGTACCATGCTGTACTGTTGAATTTCTTTTAGAGTGATATAATTATTACGAAAGTAGTTTTACTTGTACATTTTTCTCACTTATATATTTTTTTCAATTTGTTTGAAAAATGTATAAACAATAAAACTGATTTTTATATACAGTCAAATCCTATTATTTAGTTGTAATAATAATAATAATAATTTATTATGATAAATAACCACAGCTACAGATTGTATAATTTATTACTACTACTATTTCATTCTAATTTATTGCTTTTTTACTGCTTTATAAATTTGCTTTGTATTCAATTTAACACTATATTCTTGTTTCAATCAGTAACTTTACTTGAAATTGATTGTGAAAGCTGCTAGAATATTTTTTTAGAAGTTTTATGTTAAAATTTCAGATTATGCTATCCATCCAGATGCCCTTTTAGTATGGTGTCAGAAACAAGTTGCATTATATGATGATATCAAAATAATTGATATGACTTCTTCATGGAAAAATGGAATGGCACTCTGTGCTATCATTCATAGATACAGACCAGATCTTATTGATTTGCGTGCCTTGAATCCTGAAGATATATCAAAGAATAATCAATTGGTAAGTTTTTAAATCAAATAAGAATTTAATTTGAAAGTTTCTAAACACTAACATGACAATAGACATTTATAGCATATTACATAAAATATGATTAATTTGAAAAATATAAAGGATACATTTATTTAAAGTACATAATTGTAAAAATTGTAAAATAAAAGTTTCTTTTTACTATTAAAATTTGCTGTCAGCTGTTGATTACATAAATTAAACTTTATTACTTATGAAATTGTTATTATTTGAATGTATGGTATGTCACTGTCATACTTATTACATAATTATCTTGAGCTATATGGAAAGGGAAAGGTAATAGATATTATAATGGATAAAATTTTGTTATGCTAGATAATGATGGATAATGTGAAATCCATGTACAGTCGACCTCCCCCCATAAGATCATAGTTCCATTCTTTAGGAATCTGATTTCTTACAAGTCCTTCCAATCACAGCCCGACACGTGTGAAGTTTACAGACTACGGCTGTTTGAAAGGTTTTCTTCCATAAAATTAATCGATTCTAGACTAATCCGACTCAACATTTTCAAAATACATATATTATTTTTGGGTATAATCCATATAAACTACGCTATAAACAAAAAATTGTAGGATTACTTACCGAATATGCGCCATTCGACATCGCCATTGCTAAAGCTTGTTTTCGTCGCGGAACAGCTCAGCAAACAGCGGCCGATTTCTAATAACTTATTTTTCTGTGAAAACTTCGTTGAACTTTGGAGACATCATTAATATAAATAATTTTAATCGCCGTTGAATAAGAAATGTTTCTTTCACAAGAAATGTATAAAATTACAGTACTTTATTAGACTTACAGTACCTATTTACATACTGTACAGACGATAGTTAGCATAAAATCTCCGTAGCGTGGCGCCACGCGGCGGAAATTATATATTTAATTATAACAAAGTTACAATAAGTTAATATATAATTATATGTACAGTACCTAATTTATATATAATTATATGTACAGACGAAACTAAACTCAATTTAGCCGCCTAAATGTCTATAGCGTGGCGCTACGGACGGCAGGAAAGTAGTTTGGCTGCCTGATGACGTTTTACGTAATTATAGGAGTTTTTACCTTTTTTTACGGATACCGTCGCAATTTTTTCACAGTTTTATAGGAATCGTAATTATAGGGGGGTCTACTGTAATTATATCCAATGATAATACAGGAAATCTTATTGGATAGTTTCCAAGAAAAATCGTAACAATATTGTCACTTGATATTTAGCTACACATAAATAGAATATTGCAGATATGAATGTTTCATAGCTGTCTGAGGTGGTATTTATGAAATTGTCTCCAGTCCAGAGTGATATCATTTAAATGCAGTTTTGATAATAAATTTTAGCATAAGATTAATTCCTAATTTATCAGTGCTCATGATAAAATCTCTGTAGTATTGTCGAATATAGTGTCAGATTTTACACACGGGCCTTTCAAATTAGTGTTTTTGAGCAAATGATAAAAAAAAATTATTGTGACATTTTATCTGGTGCAAAATTTCTTTCCAAGAACTATGAAAATTGTTACGTAAAACTGTTCTTCACAATGTCAGATTAACAATATGAGATCCCACCTCATTTAAATTTGAGGTGTGTGTGTACATTCATTTATCTATATATGTATGTGGTGTTTTTTCTATGACTTACTGTTACGAACTACAATTTAACTGGTTGCCATTAATTGACTTTATTGATGATGTCTTTTTCTACTGTGATACTTTCTTTTCTAATTTTATTCTTTTTGCTTGTTATTGGATGAGTTGAACTTAACCCTGGTCCAATGTCTCGTACACCTTCTTCACCTCGCAATAAAACTTCGACTTCTGCTGGTAAATGTCATTGATCTCCAAGTGAACCAATGTTGAAATCATCTTGACTGGATGACTATTTTGCATCTCAGAATATTCCTTCTCAACTACTGCAGAAGATTCTGTGTTTTCTTGAACATTTTAATACTATTTTATTGAAATTGAAGAATTGTCATCAAAATTTGACTGGTTGTCTAATTTACATAAGGAGTACGATGAACATCTATCTCACCTGGAAGGCGAAATTACTGAACTTTCGTCTTTTAAAACTGTATGTATGGATAAATTTTCTTTTCAGAATTACTATGTAGATTCTGTACACAATGATTTGAAGAAAAATAATATTATCATTTCCAGTTTAAGTGGTAGTGACAAAGAATTAGTTAATAATGCTAATGGCTTTATTGAATTATTTAAAAGACAAAACAAGGAGTCTATTCCTTTTATTAATAGTTATTGTATATCGGGAACTCGGCTTATACTGTATTGTTTGAGCTCTATACTCAAGATGACAAAAGAGTTATTTTTAAAAATTTAAAGAAAATTCAGGTGTCGCCATCTTACTCACACATTAGTCTTTGATGATTTGTCATATAGATCAAGACTAAGGTATAGAAAATTGTTGCTTTTTTTTTGCGGAAGCTAAATCTTTGAATAAAAAAGTATTTCTGAAAGCCATTTGCCTGACAGTTGATGGTGACAAATTCAATTTCAATTTAGAACTAATGAATTACAGAAGACTGATATTTTTTTAGACAAATCTGGCCAAAAGGGTTAAGTGGAACAATTGCTAAAGAGAGAAATAAAACTTTAGTAATGAGAATATTGTCTTGGAATTATCAAGGAATGCTGGACTTGACAGTGAATGACCAAGAGTTTGTACATTTATTGCAAAATTATGATCTAGTTGCTTTTACTGAAACTTGGTCAACTAACTCTTATAAACTGGTACTTTCTTTGTTGAACCCAGATTTGTTTTTATATGAACAATTTGCTAGAAAACCAATTGGTTCCAATCGTCTATATGGCAGTCTCATTCTTGCAGTTTCCCAAAAATTAGTTTTTTTGGAAATGTTGTTTAACTTCGACAATCTAATAGTGATTAGATTTAATTGTAAGAAAAATTTTTGTTCACCTAGTCATAGTTTGATAATTGTTCTTGTTAATTTGAGAGTAGATCTTTATGATGTACTGTTAAAAAAAAATGGAAGATTTGTTGATTAATTTCTCTGAGGATATAGTTATTTTGGAAGACATGAATGCTAGAATAGGCAAGGAACTAGATAATTTTTATGCTGGAAGTAATACTAATGTTTTAAATTCTTGAAGATCTAATGATTTAATATTAAATCAAAGAGGAAAAGTTTTTTACAATTGATTAAGTTGTACGGATTATATATTTTAAATGGTCATTGTGCCTCAGACTACCCGGCTAAATTTACTTTTCTTTTGACAGTCTGTCTATCTGTTATAGATCTAATAACAGTAAATGTAAATTTATTGGACAGATTACTGGATTTTAGAGTTCTTGATACTTTCAATTCTGTTCATTTTCCAATTTCAATATCATTTGAATTTACGATGGATAGTGTATTGACTCTGAAACTTCCAAAAATTTGCTACATGTGGAAACAAGAAAGATCGGATGGCCTGCTATTGCTAAAGGATTACTAAATAATAATGGATTGTCCTATAGTTATATATATTTAAGTGAAACTTTGTTCTTTTTGGATTGTGATCAACGACTAAAGACTTATATTGGCTAAAAAATATTCATCATTTGAGTGAAAGAGGTTGGAACAGTGAACTTTTTCTTAATGGAATGTGGAGTCCAGTGCCTCCTTATTTACTGTCTAATTTGAGTTATAAAATAGTCATTTGCTGCACAATTTAGACTAAATAGATTTTCTATAAACCTAAATGGTAAAATAATTAATGTCTTTTGTGACTCTGAATGTTCTTTTTGTGGAACAACAGTGATGGATATGAGAAAACATCTTCTTGAATCTTGCAATATTCTTTTGGATGTTTGTGTTGCTACACTGCCATCTGATTTTTGTTACCAAATTTTATTCAGTGATAGTTTTGCATTGCTAACTTTGTATAAATTATATAATTTATACAAAGTTAGCATTGCAATATTTCAGCCCCTTTGTAATAACACTCACATATATCAATCAATCTTTATTTGATATAATATGTAAATAAACAAACTGAGATTCAAATAAACCCTGTGGAAGAAAAGTGCTGTTAAAAAATAAACCTGGGTTATGAAAAGCATGAGAAACATGATGTGCAAAATATAAGATAATGTAGTTTAGAGTGACAGGAAAAAATTTAACTAAAATTCTATTTCTTCAATTTTCCTTGAATTGGACAGCATTTTCTCTTCCAAGGTTCATGGGGATATTTTTGGAAATAAAATTATAAATAAATAATGTCAAATATTGATCATGAGAAAGTTGCAATTGTATTCATAAGTTTGAGATCTTATCAGCCAAAGAGTAATTAGGAAAACTTGAATTGGAGATGGTGAGTTCAACCAAAAGATGATAGTCAAGATCCTGATTCTGACAATGATCTCAAGATGTATGAAAACAGTAATTATTTCAAATGTTATAGTTGTAACCCATAAACACAGTCAATAAAGGTTTGATAGTTTTGAAAATGTACAACTAATTAAGGTATTTCTTTCAATTTTTACCCACTCATCCCCATGTGGAAGATTAATACAATAAAGTAATGTGTCTGTATAACTTTACTGTATGTCTAAAATTTCTTTACAAATTCCATTATAAAGTTGTTGTTTTTTGGAAGTTAATCAGAATACTGTGGATTCAAAATGCAAAAGCAAATTGTATAAGCAAAAATTTTGTTTTTACATATTATGAAATTGTAAAATAACAGATTTTGTATTTGTGTGGTTTTTTTATTTTTTTTTCCTTTTCTATTTTCCTTTGTAATAAAAGAAGATTCTCCCTTTAATACAATAAAATTATTTGATTTTTTCATTGATTATTGATTCTCACTATTATAAGTTTGCTGACCTGGTGGAGATTGGTGACTTAAAATCCCGTTTCACTGACACCAGTGTAACTTTGGGCTAAAAATCCCACTTCTTGCACCAGTGTAAGTTTTCCAACTCTAAGAGGGATCGTTGATCCCGCATCAGGCTGATCTAGGGTCGTTCGCATGTGAGTGTGGAGGAGGAGACAGAGATGACAAGTATCTTACAAAAACCCATTTATTTTAGGATAAAATAAACTTACACTAAGAAACAAATATTTTCTAAACACAGTTGGCTGGTTGGACATCGATAGTGTCAATGCTGTTTTAGTTGTTTGTTGTATAGGTGGCCCCGGGGCAGTGTTGTTAAACAGTTCATGAGACTCCATTGGTTAGCATCAGCAACAGCACAGCTTTGGTATCGACTTAAAGATGGAAAAGATTTGTCCCAAGTGTTGACACTGCTCTTCAGATTTTCACTCCTTTGTGTTGACTCGCCGAGTGCTCTTGTCAAGCGCCTCTTGCCAATCAAGTGCCAATCAGGGATCACATCAATCTCCGATCTCCCCTTTTGTCCATCCTGATTGGTTTTACATTTGTTCCTAAACGAAAGACGAGACCTATTCAGGTCTTGAGAAGGATCACCTCGGGGACTTACCTGACACCATCTGTTAACTCTGGATGGAAGGTGTAGATGGGACTTTGAACTTGCACTCATTTTACCCCATTGTTGTCTAGTCTATGACGTCTTAGAATTTTAATGACATGACGTGATGTCCCCTTTTATAATTAACCTTTTCCCTCTTCAAGATTTTTATGTTCTAATTATTTGTATATGAGCGCCTTGTCAAAGGTCCATCTCTACTGGAGGATGCTTGTTTACATTTACTGCGTCATGTTTTATATTAATAGTATTTTTTTCTTGTCTCAGTTTCATATGACTAGAACAACTAAATCTGATCTTTGATCAGTTTTTAACAATGGAGGTGTTTTTCTCTCTAGTTTTGTTTTAATAAATTTCTAATATAAATGTTTAATTTCAACCCATTTTTTGTGGGAACTCACACTATAATTCGGTCATTGTCAACTTAATACATATAAGAGAATTTATAACTATAGTTTTAAAAATAAGTTATAACAAAAAAAGGTATATATCTAAGTAAACAATAAAATATAGATCAACATTAATTTAAAGGGACATCAACTTTTATTATGTATTTTAATAAAAAGCTACATATTTTAATATAAACCTTATATTATTTTATTATTATGGCCTTTTAGAAAAGTGTAGAGAAATATTCATACTTTTACATAAATGTGTATTTAGTGATTAAAAACTTTAAACAAAATACTGTATTGTACACATTTGACAGTTATGTTAATAACTGACACTGAGAAAAATAAATAAAATGACCAGTGGCACTTAGCCTAGCCATTCATCTCACATTGTGTATCCATTATCAATTTCTATAATTGTTTTCAAAGTAATTATTTAAATTCTATAATTATTTAAATAGAACGTTTTTCATGTTAAATAGTTAAATAATTTTTACATTTGTAGGCATTTGATATATGTGAAAGAGAATATGGAATACCACCTGTGATGACTGGTCAAGAAATGAGTGAATGTAATATTCCTGATAAGTTGACTATGGTTTCTTATATTTCTCAAATATATGAAATATTTCGTGGGGAAATACCTTATACAGGTAAAAAGCTAAAAAATATCTCAATTTATTAAACCTTTGCTGTTAATTTTAAATTAATTTAATTTTCCAGTCCGTCCAATTAAGCCATTGGTTGGGGAAGACATTTCAGGAGGAAATCAGCATCAGTCCTCATTATCTATTTTCAGCAAGCTTAGTCAAAAATTTCAGGTTAAAAGAGGAGTAAGTATTTAAATAAATTTTAGTATTTCTCAAAATTCGAAGTATATTTTTTTACCGATTTCTTTTCTTATAGTATTCTTTGGAAAGAGAATCAAAAGATAAAGAAAAAACTGACACACTCAAGCGAAGCAAAACTACTAATACTTTAAGTAACAAGAGAAAATCAAAAGAGAGAGATAAAGGAATTGCTTTGGTAAGAAATATTATAATAATCTAGTTTAATTACAATATTTTCTTAACAGAATTGAGATATCAAATATAATAACACACTTATGAAGAGTTAAATTTATACTTTGCATTTCAATAATAACCAGTTTGCTATTGCAGTTTTATTTGACATGTTAATAAAGTAAACTATGCAAATTTTTAGCTTTGTAATTTATTCTTATATGCTTCATTTTAAAATGATGTAAGACATATTTTAGTAGCCCTTGAGCACATTTATTTATTTTTTTCTTTCTTTCAAATTTTACTATTAATTTGATCCGATAAAACAGTTTTAAATTTTAATCAACAGTTTTACATTAAGTACACTTTGTTTCTTTGTTTAGTTTATTGACAGACTTGTTTATTGAATTATTATTGATAGTTTCTGGATTTGGATAATAGAGAAAATTTCATTGAATTTACTGCTCTGTGTTCTTTATCTGAAATAATTAATTAATTGAAGTAATGAATGTGCAAAATTTCAAGTCTGTGTAATGTATAGGAGTTTTCTAATGCATTTAACTTTGTCAAATAAAGGATGAATTTGGGAAACTAGTTTTATCAGAAACTGAGTGCTTGTATTTAAACAGATTAGTTGGATTCGTCCAGTACTTATTGAATGCTTAGTGGACAGCTGCTAGAAAATAATTCCTGGCTTATTGGAAATACATATCATGTATTGTTGATGAGTGTGCATGAGCTCATTTACAAAACATACATCATGTGTAAATGTAACTGAGATTAAATAGAAATAATCCATATGTATATGAGCAGTTATTTATTGTGACATCATTGCAATGCCAGGCTGCAATTTTTATCATATTTTTAATTTATTTAATTTAAAATATATGCTCTCTAGATATGTTTATTGAATGTAGGATTAATTGTTAACATCAATCTTTTCCCACATTCTGAGAAGGTTTATAATTTTACTTGGAAACAGACAAGGTACCAGTTGAGTTCTGAGAATGAAGGTTCAAACCAATTGGAATATTATATTGAGAGACACAATCTATATAAACCTATGTCCCAAAGACATGGGGGACTTCTCTAATTCCATTTTCTGTACAGCCCATTGCATGTTATTTTTGGATACTTCTTGTTTTCTCCATTACTGCTGATTCCCTCCAACTTTGCCAAAAAGGGGGACCTTTCTGACAGTTTCTGTGCCCTTTTCTGACAGTCTTCAAATTCCTTGCTGAGCTTTATAGTGAATTGACCTTCAGAGTCATTTCTTTTCATGGACAACCAGCTTTTCCTTTTTGGACTTAACATTAGAATTGAAGGAGCATCAAAAAACTGTTGACAATTTACATAGTTCTGACCAAGAATTATACATTATGGGAATGTCTTGCTTGCTCTCTTCTCTCTTAATGAATTGCTTTTATTATGCAAAAATGAGTTCTCCTTCATCCTGTGTTTATACACCCACATTTATAACTTCCTTCCACTTATACTGTCCATTCATGATCCCTTTCAATCTCAAGTTTAAAATTTAACCATTTTGTTTTGATATGTGTGATGAAAGTCATGTGATCTTACAAATATTTAGTAGTTCTACAGAAATTATTTGAGACTGCTACTGGATAAATTCAATGAAGTTGAATCCAATATCGTCAAACATACTATCTAGCTGTTTTAAACTTTAATAAATTAAAAATACAATAATAAAAATTTGGAGAGAGCGATTGTTTTTGTTATCTTTGTTCCATAAGGCACAGTTTTAAAATTACTGTTAAAAATTAATTTTTTTCATTTCAGATATCTTTATTATAGTATGTTTAAACAAAACATACTAGTACAGTAGAACCTCGAAAACTCAACCTAATGTGGACCGAAGGGTGGCCGAGTTTGTGAAAATGCCGAGTTATCGGGAATGGGGTTAAAAAAAATAAGTATGAGTATTTCCTCAGAAAATACTGTACTGTACTTGTACAGTATTTACTTGTACAGAATATAACAGAGAATAAACTGCCCAAATACCCTTAAACAAAGGAAAAGTACGTCCTTTATGAAGGCATAGAGCCACTACATGAAAATGAAAATTAATGAATACACTGTGTACAGTAATTTACCTGATAAGACAGACCTCAGAAAAATACTTTATGAGAGCTTTTATACTTTTATAAAGCTGTCTATAATGAAAATTAATTAACTAAGGATTTTTTCGCCCTGCCAAGGTGTGGACCAGTTATCCGGAGTGCTAAGTTATCGAGGGACGAGTTTTCGAGGTTCTACTGTATAAAGATATTTGAAAAAACTTTTATAATCTAAATAAGTATTTTTGTTGAAATTTGAATCTTCTATCTAGAAGTTCATATCTATGCCATCTGTCTCAAGTCTGCTTTGAGTAAACAATGTATTAAGAGATTGCAATATTTGTAATCTTAGATTTGTTTTGAATGATTAAAAGTTACCATTATTTCCTTATTCATATACCTAAAGTTAAGTAATATTGTTTTGCATCATTAATATTGCCTAAAATTTATAAGTTTTGATAAAAATTTGCCAGGTCAGATAACAGTTGTTTAATCACAATAGTATTTCATTTAAGTATTTTTAAGCAATATTCTTTAGATAATTGTTTATTTGAAGTATGTAATTGGTACATACATACATACATACTCATTTCATACTTATCACTTAACTATTTCAATTTATGAATGTTTTAAAGAAAGTTTTGTTACTCAAGTTTTAAAAAGATTTATCCATTTTACAGAGAACTAAAAGTTATTAGCAATTAGTAAATTTCTGCATTTAAATAAAATATTTAGTAATTTATAATTAAGAAATAATTAAAATCCTTTTTCAATTATTATTGTACTATTATAATATTTATATGCACAAAATTCAATTAATTGTTTATAATAGCAATTATATTTTTTGTAGGAAATAGAACCACAAGATGTAGCATTAAAATCATTCAAAAAATTAACAGGAACATCAGAGAAGGCATCATTTAATACTCGTGTACGTGATTTAGAAGAGAAAATGAGAAAAGATGCAGGATTAAGATCTCACCATGGTAGTGGTGATAGCAGTAGTGAAGTTTCAAGTGCACAGAATAAAACTGGAAAAAGAGCCACTAATCATAACATAAAGTTGCTAGAACAACAGTTGAGAAAAGAATCTATTAAAACTTTAAAAAGTGATGTTCCTAAAGTTGGTAAACTTAGTGCAGATGACTGGAATATCAAACAGTTAGAACAAACAACACGCCAAAGTAAAATTACACCAAAGATAACAAATAGTGAAGCTAAAAGTATATCTCAAGATATTTTTAATAATAAGGTGAGTGAAAAGAGTAGAGTGAAGCCATTAATAAGTTACTTTGAAAAACTTTGCAATTCAGCATTTTCAAAATTACTGCACTTACCTCAGTTTTCAACTAAGATATAATTGTTTTTGTAATTCATAAAATAAAATTAAAAAAAAACTGAATAGGGCTTGCTTATCCCTTTAAATTAATGCATGTCTAATTTTTGCATTGTGATAGCTACTGCATGTAAATAAAGCTTTGCATGTTTTGGTTTAGCTTGGTCTATGCTTTAAAAAGCTCCTAAAGTAATATAAAAAACATATTAGAGCTTTTTTTAAATTAATACTTGACTACTTATTGTAGGAATGAGTAAATAAAGATTACTGGAATTTGCTTAATAAAAATACATAAATTGATATATTTTCTTAGTGTATTTATGGATGTTGGAATTTTATATTTTTAATTAACAATTTAGATCTAGTAATAAGATTTAAGATATTTATTAATTTTGAATGAATTTTCTCTCTTGGTCGCAATGACCTAAGTTAGTATAAAAAAATTAATAATATATAATTAAAGTATCAATAAATTTATTAAAAAATGTATATCTATTATAATTTTAAGTTAACTTTTCAGTTTTCTAATTTAATTTTAATAATTGTTAATTATCATTGCATTAACACTAGAATGCCAAACTGTGGTCAATTGATCACCTTGATTTTTAGATGTGCATATTTTTGGCAGTATAATTCTGAGATTTTATGATTTTTTGACCAGAAATTACTGTTTCTAGGATAAAGTTTATAAGATAATACTGATTGATCATTGGTGCCTGGTGACAGTTTATCACCCTCTGTTTTTACAAGGTGTTTTCATGTAGTTTTAATGCTAAATATTCACTAATTTACCATTTATAATCCAAAAAAGTACAGATAACTGAAAAGATATTTACTGCATTTCAGTTCCAGGGGGCATGGCTGCCATATCTAGACTTGCAGTTTTTCTAAGAGCTTCCTAGCCTTTCACTGTCTCATCTGTTTGAGTTGTCTTACATTTGCTATTTTATAGTTTGTTGCAATGAGATGTTATGTATCCTTATAAGATGATGCTCCAAGCATCATCATACTGCAGATAAAATTTTGAAAATTCTGCAAGATATATCTCCAACTCAGTCTGGGGTGAAGTCAGATCCAGAGTAAAGCTCTGAGTCTGAGAACTCTAGTGATGAATTTCAACTTCATGCAGGGTAAATAATAGTTATTCATCAGAGAGTTACTCTGATAATTTCCTAGAGAAAATACTGAATCACTAAGATTATTAGCTTATTTTCTACTTCTAACTCTTCTATTGGATTATATTATAGTATTTGATTTATATAAATACAAAGGTTATCTTATGTAGGGTTTATCACCAAGTGAACAATCTAGCATTTTTTAAAATTATGTACAGTAGCACAATAAAGAATTTTTAATTTAAAATGTATTAGATTGGTCACTTGGTGTGATAAACCCTTATGTAAGATAACCTTTGTAGTTATATAAATCAAATACTATAATATAACAAGCATTAAAACAAAAATAATATAAAGAGTTTGGTTATTTAGCCTACCATTGTCATGTTTATTGAGATAATCAAATGGTACAAAATGGCATAATTTAATTGGTCAAGTAGACATCAATTGAAAATATGATATGTTAAATTTTTTTCAGATATTTTTCCTAATGTTAGCTCTAAAAAACTGTTTCGTTTACAGCTGAATACCAAATGGTAATCTGCCAATGAATATAATTTTGTGAAAAATACACTAAATATTTAAACTTGCACCCTTGAAAACCACTTAAAACACATTTTGTGCTTGTCAGTAATCTTGTATTATGCAATTTTCATATTTGAATGCCACCATATCACTGGTCTGATAAAATGAAGGAACCGTTATGAAAGGGGTTGAAGTTAATTTGACCAAAAGTAATAGTTGACCACTACTTTGAAGAGAGAATGGTAAACAACTAATAATTAATACTGGTCTACTATTTTAAAAAATTGCCAGGATGAATTTACTTTTACAAAAAAATATATATTTCTTGGTAGACTATACATGCAGGATGAGTCAGTTTCACACAGGATCAGTCGACTCTGCCGTGGAATTGTTATTACACCAAGCATGTGAAAGGATTGAATAAAACTGATTCATTCTGTATGTATAATCTACCAAGAAATATATTTTTTTTTTGTAAAAGTGATCTGTGTTGGATAGTTTGTGATGGCCATGGATGTGATTGAAGTTGCTAACCTTAATGTCTGAGAGATTTCATATAAGACTTGTTTCAATAAAAAAGTCCTGTAAAAATGCAAAAATAATTGCTTTTATGTGATCCCATAAAAAACTGATGAAATGAGGTTGAAAAATAAAGGAAACTTTTGAAAGTTGTGGCATAAGAATAGTGGAAGCAATTTTACAGTAAGACTCAACATGTGAATAAAGTACACATTACACAGACAACAACTACAGGAAGTTTTGGATGAAGCAATGTTGCCATGATAATAAATAGGAAAATAAACATTGGTAAAATCATAAATAAGACTTTAAGCTCTACTTTGTGCCTTAAAATCATTTCATGTACATTAATTTGGCTGAACTGTAAAAAGATTTTTAAGCAGTATCAGTAAAAGAAGTTTGGGGCAATGGGTTCATGAGTTAATAAGGGGGAGATGAAATTGGGAGGTGCGGGTGTCCAGGATTTGCGGTAGTTAAGTATGTCCTTGTAAATATCTCATTTATAAGAAAAGTATTAGAATTAGTTTGATTTATTTGGTTATGGCAATGCGACACGTGAATAATCTGCCAAGGAGGATGCATCCTGGGAAGACTTTTTATGTAAAGCTTGCCCCTATTTAGGTGTTACTAATGTGAAGAAATACCAGGAAACTTCAGTGCCACATGCAAATCAGTCATGAGTTTGTGTGTGGCCAACGGATTGGCCACATGCAAACTCACGACTGATTATCAGTGTTTGATGATTTTATCCACTTGATTATTGGAGGTACTTATTGAGCTGAAATTTGTTGGACTGCATTTAGAAAAAATTATAGACATAAATTCCCTCTGTTGTCTGTCTGTTGTCTGTCCTTCTCTGATCTTGAGAATGGAGTTAGTTAGATGAATGTCAAGATCATATATGGAAAGCTTAAGAGCAGGAACCCAGATTAACTATATACAAACTTCTGGTTTGATCCAGAAGTCACATTATTTCAGTTTAAAGATTTTTTTCTGAACAGAGTTAGATACATAACTGGCACAACTCTATTGTTACAGGAAAAGTATGATGTACAGCAGGTGTGTCAAACTCATTTAAACAAGGGGCCATTTAATGTGGCTGGTAAGATTCATGCAGGTCACATCACATTTACAAATTTTCTTAAAATTATAATTTGAAGTGAGAATGAAGGAGTATAGGGCAGGGGTTGGCAACCTTTTGAGTCAGAAGAGCCAAAATTACAATTTACAAAATTTCAAAGTTTTTAAAGAGCCACAAAATTTTTTCTTGCCAACAATAAATAGTACTCGCATAAATAAAGTTTTTTGATAAAAAAAAACTAATCTATTTATTCATAAGAAAAAATATCTATTTATTCATATATAAGTAGTGTTATTCACAACAAATTAGATAATAGAAACATCTGACGACGGCGTCATTCGAGAGCTTCCGACGGACTGACGACAGTGACGACGTGTGTTACGGGGGAGGGGTGCGGTGAAAAGCGAGTACAAGTGGCTGAGAGATAAAATCAGTGCCTAATCCTCGTTAATCGATTCAGAACGATTTTTAAATTTTTTTTTTTTGATAAAATAAATAATATTTGCATATGGAACTAAAGAGCCGCAGCTTCACATCGAAAGAGCCGCATATGTCTCGTGAGCCACAGGTTGCCAACCCGTGGTATAGGGCAATTAAAACACATTATGTAGTTCAGTGAATTCAACTCAACAATATATAATTGCTATAGTATTGTTTTTATTCAAACATTTATATTATTTAATGTACATATTTATAAAACTAAAGTTAATTGTTTTTACCAGAAACTTGCCAGTGCTTTCTTCCTCCTCCTAGTTTTCCAATATCTGGATTCAAAGACTGAGAACAAACAATCTTCATTATGGCAGATAGTTGTTTATCAGTTAATCTCAATCTGTAAACTTGAGCTGTAAGCTGCATGAAAATAATTGCTCACATAAGTATATACTTCCAAAAAAGCATAAAATTTGTGCAGCAAACTTTTTAATTTCCAGGTATTATTCATCTAAATAAGAATATATTTTGGGAGTTCCTACTTCTCGATATTTGTCTTTTTAAAACTGAATCATTCTGGAAATCAATTAATTCCAGTTGCTTATACTAATAAACACACCTGATTATATTTACCGAGTTTTTTTCTTTATTCCAAACATTTTCAGCCTATTTGGATAGGCCAAGAAAAAGAAAAAAAGAAAAAACTCGACAAATGTAATCAGTTGTGTTTATTAGTATAAGTAACTAGTATTCCTGAGAAGAAGATAGATAGATAGATAGATAGATAGATAATTCCAATTGTATCGAAGTTTGAGATTTTTCTGTTTCAAAGGAAAAAGGTCCAATGAAAAGAGGGAATTTCTTGTAACTCTTTGAACATTTTGATGATTTCTTTGAAATCATCAAAATGTTTATTAAATTTGTTTTTTTATTTCTTCAATTTTATCAACATATTGTGAAAATGAGCAACTTTGATTTTGTGCTTTTAATTGCTCACATGTAGGAAAATATGTCAAAACATTTTTTGCAAATGAATTTTAAACAGTCAGATTTCTTTTTACAGAACTTGCAATTGCATCATACATATTTATTATTAATTGATCTTTATCTTTCAATGTAATATAAAGATTATTCAGATGGTCTGTAATATCTGTTAAAAATGCTAGGTTTTTTACCCACATTGGATCTTTTATAACCAACATACTTTTGTTGTTTTCATCTTTCATTTCAAGAAATATTATTTC